ATGAAATTTGAACCAGGTTTCTTCGTACTACTACGCAATACAGTTACTTACTTACTCATAGAGCTGAGCCCTTCTGGAGGAGCCGCCAATTCTGTAGCTATTCAAGAATTTCCCAGCATTTTATGGAACCCGAAGGTTCATTATCGTGTTCACAACAGCCCTCCACTGGTCCCTATCCTCAGCCAGATCAATCCAATCCATACCATCCCATCCTACTCTCTAAGAGCCATTTTAATACTGTCCAACCACCTACGCCTTGGTCTTGCCAGTGGTCTCTTTCCTTCTGGCTTTCCCACCAATATCCTATACGCATTCCTCATCTCCCCCATTCGTGCTACATGACCTGCCCACCTCATCCTCCTTGACCTGATCATTCTAATTATACTTGGAGAAGAGTACAAGTTATGAAGCTCCTCATTATGCAGTTTTCTCCAACCTCCTGTCACTTCATCTCTCTTCGGTCCAAATATTTTCCTCAGCACTCTGTTCTCAAACGCCCTCAGTCTATGTTCCTCCCTTAATGCCAGAGACCAAATTTCACACCCATACAGAACCACAGGCAAAATTATAGTTTTCTGTATTCTAATTTTTATGTTTTTGAACAGAAGACGAGGAGACAAAAAGTTATGAACTGAATGGTAGCAAGCATTACTCGAGTTCAATCTCCTCTTAATTTCCTCCTGAATCAGGTTTCGATCTGTTATTGTTGTTCCCAAATATCTGAACTGTGCCACATTTTCAATATATCTGTTTTAATTAAAACAACCAAAATCGAATATATTCTGCTGAATATATTCTTGAATATAACGCCGTGAATCCATTGTATTACAGAAGAGAGAATTTTTTATAACCACAGCTGTGAGAACCTGAAATCCTACGTCATATCCTGTTAAGCAACGTGACACGTGCTCATCTATGGAGAAAAATATATTCGTAATACGCAGGATCTCAGGTGTCTTTTAAATGACCATATTTCTTTCCACTTCCCTGATTTGTTTTCATAATATATTGTACAATTTAATTTCTGTATTTATTACACCTCTCTTAAAAGAATTCGTTCTACAAGACTGAACACAGAGGTTGAAACTCTGGCATGAGTTATGATTATGAAGTGCAGCGTTTTGTTTCAGTTTCTCCATAGGCCTATGTAGTTTTATTTCAGGTATAAGAGTATGCATGCCAGGTATCGTAAATGTACGTAAAATATTATTAAGTTGCCGACGTGACGTATAGTATATCTTCACACTGCCAATTATTTGTATAATCGGTTTTGTAATTAAAAAAAAATTTTACTTTTTGAGTCACCTCACCAGAAAATTAACCCACACTTCAATCGAGCACAAAAATATGGAAAACAAATACTCCTTATAACTTGTAGGCTCTTTATATCCGTAAGAAATTTAATTATATAACATAATTTACTGAGTTTGGAGCTTAGTGATTGCATATATGCACCCCATTTCATATATTTACTAATGTGTATGCCTAAGAATGCTGTTTCCATTTATGGACAATATCCATAAATAAGAAACAAGAGTTTAAGGTTTGATTTCGACCCATCGATCGGCGACGCTCAGATCGAATGCAGTCCAGCCCGTCCCACTTCCAAAGTGATCACAGCCTGAGGCGTAATCTCTTCAACCACCCGAACAAAGTGACCCTGGATTCGAACTCCATTCGTGGATGGATGTATGTCTGCGTTTTTTCTGTATTTGTATCTTTGAGTCATGCTGATCCCTTTACCAACAGTATCGTTAACAAAAGAAGGCAAACAGCAACATATACAACAGACAATATTAAACAACATGTTGCAGTAATAAAGATCTATATATAATAACTAAAATATTATTGTCTTGACGGTAGCAAAGTTCTTCCATATTATATTGTCTGTGACAAACAACAGGATGCAACCTATAAAAATATATATATACAACAAATATACTGAACACAGGAGACGAAAGGAAACTAAGAGGAGAAATGGCAATTCGTGACACAACCAGTGTGAAAATAGAAATGAACAACACAAGTTCCTTTACTCATATTTTTAGTATTGATGTACAATATTTCAACCACTGACAAAATTTCAAAAAACCACCTATTAAAAGGTAAAGTTATCCCTGTACCACGCAACAGGCAGTGAAGACCCATAGGGTTTGTGAGAGGTTGAGGCTCCCACATTTTCTAGACAATCGGCACACAATGGCACACAGCCTTACGCGCCGGCCGCCCTTTACCCCCCGGGAAGATTCCTGGTATCATTTCTGTCAGAGGCTGAGTCAACTCCAGGGCAATATAGACGCTGTGAATGTTTCGTTGCCTATTCTCTGTACTACACCAGCTGCTCAACATGAACCAATCCTACCACCAACCGACGCTATATAGAATCAAAGTTGACAGCATCGTAAGATAAACAATTTAAAAATCAACACTCCAGGGACGATATATTGGTTTCATATTGCACATGGAGTGTTGAGGGCAGTTCACAACGTGACGAAACTTGCAATCAAATCTAAAATGCGAAGGAGGCTGTGTGGAGCTGTGTGGGCCACCTTGTGAGTATGAATGTGCATGTCATTTGTCTGGCCTTGTTTCTCGCCGATGCTCATTTCCGCTTCATACGCATGCAGAATAGGCTACAGCCGAAAATTGGTTTTCTCTGGAAACGATTGGAGTTGCAGTACATGCTTAACACTGGCATTTAAACTTACATCAGCATACTTTTCTATATGACCTTGTTGTGTGATGACTATGCTTGTTTGCTGCGTGACGTTGACGTCTTAAATCTTCAAGACTTATCCGTCAATGAGTGGATAGTTATAGAAGTCCGACGTTTGCATTGGCAACTGCGAGGATGGGTCGATATGTGCCATATAGGCTATATGTCGAGGTTGGCCAATGTGCACGGCATATCACACAAATAGGGCAGTTTCTTCCGATACTGTTCTTATATCGAGTTCAAGGAGGCCCACTGGTTTTTTCGATTGTGAATTAATTCTGTGGGAGTGAATTCTTTGGACGTTTGGTACAGAACTTTTTGAACGTAAGAAGGGGTATTGCTGAATGCAGAACCTTTGCGACACATGTAACACAACAATACGTGCATGGTCCGAGTGGAGTAATAACCTGCGATCTCAATGTCAGTACAGTCCAGACATTTCGCTAAATTATTATTGTTACCGGTAGTTGAGGCAGTAAGTGATTGGCTACGGGCTAGGAGGCCCACTCTTTGATTCCAGACAGAACGGATTTTTCTTCGTTCGCTGCCACTTCTCGATCGGTCCTAAGACTTGCATAATATCTTCCCCTATGAGTACGCGATGAGGTGGGCAGGGCACGTAGCACAAATGGGGGAGAAGAGGAATGCATGTAGGATATTGGTGGGAAAGCCAGAAGGAAAGAGACCACTGGGAAGACCAAAGCGTAGGTGGGTGGACAATATTAAAATGGATCTTTCTAATGCCCTGCAAAGTCAAGATATGTTGTTCGACACAGTAGCTAAGTGCTTCTACAAGGCCGCTATGCGTATGTAAAGGAGACTAGGAAGTCTCAATTAAATGTTGCATAAAACCCAAATTCCGAAACAAACAAATGGGTTAGAAAAGCAAAAAAAGAACTTTTTGTTGGATTATGATCGGTCGGCAAAATAATAGTTTTAAAGAACCAAGACATGTTGCTGAGTAAAAGTAAAAAAGTAAAGCTATCCCTGTAACAGGCCGTGAAGGCCCATAGGGTTGCGAGACGTTGAGGGTCCTACATTATCTAGACAATCGGCTCACAGATGGCGGTGGAGTTGTCAGCCTTACGCGCCGGCCGCGCTTTACTCCCCAGGAAAATTATTTAATTAATTCCTGGTACTCATTTCTGTTAGAGGCTAAGTCGACCCCAGGGCCATAGTGCGGCTGGAAGGTTAGGTCAATTGAAAAAATCCAATGACATCATCGGGACTGGAACCCGTGACCTTCCGGCTTGTAGCATAGTGCCTCAACCAACTACGCTACCACGTAATCTGGGGCGTATGACCAGATATTTATTACTGTTTGTCAGTTACTGTTTTGTTATTGTGGGGCGCCCTTTCTGACGAGAGGACGGGTCTGTCTTTTGTCAGAGTCATCGTCTGCAGTAGTAAGTCGTTTGTCATAATGTAAAGAATATTTACATTTTACACGTTAAACATGTTAAACTCTGTCAGTTCATTCTCAGTACAACATATTACCAATAAAACTCTAGAATATTCCTGCTTATAAATACCTCGGCACGGACTGCATAGAAAGCACCGCTTCCAACAGGTCTCCTATTGTTGCGTCACGCGGCTGTTCAATCGAATGTTCCCACGACGGTGCCTATGAAGAGCAGTTATAATCTGGATGATCTCACTGTAGTCTGGGACTTAAATGGCCACACGGCCTTATTTGCCAGAAGATAGTTTTCTGTTTGTCGTTACATCAGGGAAGGTCGTAGTCTTGATTCTGTCTTCAGATATAAGGTCCATTAAGCCAGACGTCCGTGGAAACGGGGCTTCGATTACCGGTGGCGAGGATTTTCTATTCTCCACAGCGTCCAGACCGCCTCTGAGACCTCCTATCCAATGGTACCGATGACACTTTTCCCGGGGGTAAAACGGCTAGGGATTGAAGCTCACCACTTAACGTCATCTAGTGCTACGGTGAGGCTTGCGTTGAGATATACCCCCACTCGCCCATACGTCTTCATTGCATGGTGCTTGATTAGGACAGTCACCTTTTAAGATTTACCCATTGAGGTGCGGTATTATGAAGAATCATTCGAAAGCATAATTCATAACCAGGGCTGGAAATCGGAGGCAGATGAGGTCATGACGTCATGACTGCTGATCTGACTAATGATGCACGTAAGAGCGAATTCTCGAACCTAGAACTTGTTTCCTGTAACCTGTTGGTAATTCATTTCCGCTACTCTTGCCAGGTAACGCACAGTGCCACCGGTGCCACCTATTGACGCAGTCTGACAATAAAACCGAATCCATAATATTACTTGACAATATTAATGATAACGTAATTAAAATTGCCTAAATGAATCTAAAAGGCCCCTATCACCAGATCAGATCAGTAATATATTCTACTTGCGTCAATGACCTGCAAGAACAGAGACGTACAGCAAAATGCTGTTGGCCCCAGTTATGTGTCGTTAGATTGTACTGTGTAGAAGGTGTAGAACGGGTGACGGTGTTGTAGAAGTTGAATTGCTTACTGCGAAAGGTACCGTGTAAGATTATTTCCGTTGCTATTATTCTGATAGTAGTAGAGGAGTCGTAATAGAGGAAAATCTCGTACTGTTAGGAATTTATTGAACAATTACGCTGAAAACTGGCACTTTTAAAAGGGGGCGGGGTGTAATGTCTAGCTGTACATTTTGTCATTTGGAGATACCATTTCCCTTTAAATTGCAAATATTTTGGAATGGCCATTCATACGTGGAAGTTTTTTGAATTCGTTTCCATGTCGACGGAGAGGTTAGGTTGATAACATATGTTAACGAGGATCTGATGTGTTATAAATTCTGAATTCCAGCGGAAAAATGGAACATCTATGAAACGTAATCACAAGTGCATATACGATGTTCTTGCCCTGAACCATAGCAACAGATTGTAATAGTTAACTGGAAAATTTGTTGTACTTTACTAATATCGCAACCAAACTACTGGCATAATGCAGTAAAAATTAACTTTAAGTGTAACAGTGACAGGCATGAATTGGTGAATTGTGTTGTACCTTACGAAAAACACCAACGTAGTGCACTAAAAATGTTGCAATAATTGTTCTTGATGTGTAGAACAAGAACATCATAAGTGCAGTTGGCACCGTAATTTAAAGGTTGCCCAGAAAGATATTTGGCTGTAAGACTGAATAATAGCTAGGTGATTTCACATTGCCAGCTGTGCATAACAGAAATAGCAATGAATGGGTATCAGTCAATCTTAATTTGTAATTCATTATCTGCTTCTATTGCAAGATAGTGCAGCCAGATACTCTCTTGAAAAGTTTTGTCTTTTGGGTTATAATGCCATATAGTTCGTTGAAAGTCGGTCGACTTTAGGTGGTCTACATTGCATTATATCCCAGAAGACAACTCTTCATAATCACCACTGTGAAAACCTCAAATCCTACAAATAATAACTTCACCACTGTTACTATTTCTCAAGTTATTTGCAGTGTTCAGAGCTATGAAGTGTAAATGGCTGAAGGTCTGAAAAATGTCCTGCAGCTGTATGGTAGTAATGAGTGCCTGTATATTAACATATTAAATAATTAGTATGTCACAGCAAGAGTCACAGCAAAACCTCGAAATTATAGGTAGCAGTAATTCAAAACTATTGTTACAGCCACCTCGTTAATGACTGTACAGAATGTTACAAAATATTCTATGAAATAGCTGAGGCACTTTCCACTTTTATTTATTTAATTTTTGTATTTAAGTGTTGCAATAGGTGCATGCGGTAGCAAGATTCTACCTGAATCATCACTCTTTTTTTATTTTCTTTTGCTGTNCGTAACCGTTCAACTTTGGACATAGGTGTTTTGGGTTGTATCGGCATACTTTAACATAAGGAACACCCTCCCGAAGTTTGGCACATTCCTCCTGGGACACCCTGTATATATAATTAATTCATTTATATATAATAAAAACAGGAGCAGGTCCAAAATAGACCCTTGAGGTATTCTGAGTTTTATATTCCTCAGTGTAGAATTGTACCTATTCATAGAATATTTATTGTCATTAGAGGTTGTGAAACTTGGTCTCTAACATTAAAGGAGGAACATTGACTGAGGGTGTTGAGGAGAATATTTGAACCAAAGAGGGATGAAGTGACAGGAGGTTGGAGAAAACTGCATAATGAGGAGCTTCATAACTTGTACTCTTCTCCAAGTATAATTAGAATGATCAAGTCAAGGAGGATGATGTGGGCAGGTCATGTAGCACGAATGGGGGAGACAAGGAATGCTTATGGGATATTGGTGGGAAAGCCAGAAGGAAAGAGACCACTGGGAAGACCAAGGCGTGGGTGGGTGGACAGTATTAAAATGGCTCTTAGAGAGTGGGATGGGATGGTATGGATTGGATTGATCTGGCTGAGGACAGGGACCAGTGGAGGGCTCTTGTGAACACAGTAATGAACCTTCAGGTTCCATAAAATGCTGGGAAATTCTTGAATAGCTGCAGATTTGGCTTCTCCTCAAGAAGGGCCCAGCTCCATGAGTAAGTAAGCAAGAGGTTATTTCTGCATACTGAGAACACAGTGTGAGATAGGATTTTAACCAAACATTAATATTCCCTCCTATTCCATAATGATCTAATATTTCAAGAAGTATATCATGATCAATGACATCATGCGCTTTTGTGAGATCAAAAAATATAATAACTGCAAATGACCGTCTGTCCAATTCTTCCTGTACATTCCCAATAAAGGATTGACACGCAGATATGGTCAACTTATTTTTCTGAAACCCATATTGATTATCCGTTAAAATCTTAAATTTAATAATAAAGGATACCAATCTGTTATACACTATTTTTTTAAACATTTTTGAGAATAGAGACATAACAGATATAGGTCTGTAGTTACTAATTTCATGTCTATTACCCTTTTTATAAACAGGCCTAATTTTTGCAATTTTCAATAAATCTGGAAATACACCATGACCTATGGATTGATTAAATTTGAAAGTAAGTGTTTTTCTTTTTTTACATGTGATACATGCTTTTACTAGAAAATCAGGAATTTCATCAAATCCTGCAGAAGCTCTGCCTTTTAATTTGGATACTACTGTAACTATTTCTTCTTCAGAAATCTGAAAGAAATGCATAGAGTTTGGGTTGCAGTCCACTACTTTTTTAATGATCTACCACTAACTTTACTCTTCTTTCTCTCTACTAGTTCTTCTACCTTATCAATAAAATAAGAATTTAATGAATCTGCCACCTTCTGAGGGTGAGTTATTTTCTTTAAATTATTTTGTAAGTAAACAAATATCCTGATATGATATCCCTGAACTTCCCATTTTGTTATTAATTAACTGCCACATCATTTCAGCTGGCTTTGACACTATTTGTTTGTCATTATGTCTTTTTTAGCTTCTGAGATAACTCTCTTATAAATTGTTTATAAGTCAGAAATTACAAACTTGATGACAGTGCAAAATTGTGAGGTTATATCTGACAAATGTAACATAGTTAGTTCTGAGAAAAATAATGCTGCTCTCCTCCTCCTCCTCCTCCTCCTCATCCTTCCCCCCCCCTTCCTCCTGCCCACAGCAACAAACCATCAATCTCTAATTATAGTTACTGTTGTAAACTGTTAGAGAATTCTTATTCCCAAGAATGATTTGATTCTGTGACCATCTATAAATGAGGCCTCCCCTCCCCAATATGCTAATTGAGCTTGCTCTCATTTTGTTGGTGGACTGTAAACTTATGTTTCCTAAATATGACATAATAGCATAAGATTTATAGGACTGGAAGTGTGTGCTGTAGGAGAGTAGGCTTTGTAAGTTTTGCCTGGAACCATGTGTATATAATACAGTGTGCTCTGCTCTGTGAGTGGAATTCCTACATTTGCACTTAAAGTCAGAAGATTTCTGCTAGATACTGAAATGATTGATTGGGGGCACGCAGTAGCATAGTTGGTTGAGGCACTATGCTACAAGCCGGAAGGTCGCAGGTTCAAGTCCCGATGAGGTCATTGGATTTTTTTCAATTGACCTAATTCATCTAGCCCCACTATGGCCCTGGGGTTGACTCAGCCTCTAACAGAAATGAGTACCAGGAATATTCTTGGGGGTAAAGCGCGGCCGGCGCGTAAGGCTGACTACCTTGCCGCCATCTATGAGCTGATTATCTAGAAAATGTGGGAACTTCAACATCTCACAACCCTAGGGCCTCCACAGTCTGTTACAGGGATACCTTTACTTTACTTACTTACTGAAATGATTGACACAGGGCAGGTATAATTGTTTTCTCTGTCATTTGTTTTGAATGCATATCATTAGTGGGTATATTTATTTATTTGTTTATTTCTGGTTTATGTAAGGATGCTGTTATAGGCTAATTAGTGTAAAATGGTAGGGTGATGGTGAATAACGAACCGAAAAGGATATTGAGTGAAGAGGTCAGGGTGTAATGTGAGGTAAAATCCTATCGTTTGCCTGGAGGAACTGAGGTAAACCATAAAAAAGTGAGCCGTTGATAGGCAACAGACTGATTCTGACTGAGATATGAACCTATCACCACCCTAGTAGAAGCCAAAATTATTATTGCTTGATCCAATGTGCTCAGTCTCATGAGTAGAGTTTGTGAAATAGCCATGTTTCAGTTTTCAAAGATCAGTACCACATAAACTTCTGTCTTTTATGTGTTTGATGTTTGTATGACATGTTAACATGGCATGCCCTTGACCCCACCGTATGATCGGTAAAAGTGTAGAGTTTGTGAAATAGCCATGTTTCAGTTTTCAAAGATCAGTACCACATAAACTTCTGTCTTTTATGTGTTTGATGTTTGTATGACATGTTAACATGGCATGCCCTTGACCCCACCGTATGATCGGTAAAAGTGTAGAGTTTGTGAAATAGCCATGTTTCAGTTTTCAAAGATCAGTACCACATAAACTTCTGTCTTTTATGTGTTTGATGTTTGTATGACATGTTAACATGGCATGCCCTTGACCCCACCGTATGATAAGTAAAAGTGTCTATACATTATGAATTTCATTATTTTTTCGTGATATTGAAGTCACTCTGATAGCTGAGAATTTTGTGCTCAATGGCACAGTTAAGGGTTTTGTTGTCCATATAAAATGGTCGTAACAAGTTTCAGTCCATGTAAATAGAGATACTGAAATACTTCAAGACCCATACCCAAGCTGTTCTAGTAATAAAGCACCACCATGTAGGCATAAGGGACAAAAATTCTTCATTTTTATAATTCACATATCAAAACATGACACTGAATACACTCTGAAATAAAGTAAATACTCATATGTACCGCTGCTGTAGCACAGTAGGTAAAGAAAGTGCTCTAAGAAATCTGATGCCTAACTTCTCTTAATTTTTCCCACATTAAGCATCACCCAGCAGTGAATTAATTAATTTTGTATTGTGTTATAATGGGGAGATAAGTTCTTTTAAGCATCTGGTAGAGTTCAGATATATTTGTTGAACCATAGTCATGAAATATTACTGAAGTGAAGTAGACAAGCATATTGGTGTGAATTTTGTGTTTTAGTTAAGAAACTTTTGTGTTTGATACTTATGTATTATAATCAATGCCAAGAAAGTGTAATGATGCAGGTAATGGAATTTTTAAGGCATGCTGATGAACACTTGTTTCATTGCAGTTAATGATCTGTATTGTTAATGGTAAAAGTTAATTTTTTTATGAATAAACATACTTTTCTTTTGCAGCTAGCTCGTCAGAGCAGGAAGTTGCTGACTCATTTGAATTCATCTCAGCTAAGCATATTGTCCTTTCACAGAGGTAAATGTCTCAATGTAGAAACAGACAACTTTACTATGCCTTGATGATGGAGTAGTGTAAATACCTTCTACACTGAGGAACAGAGGTTTAAAGATTCTGAAAGTTCAGGGGGTTTTGCACCAAAACTGCTGTTGAGTGGTTCATAAGAATCTGGACATGAAATAGTAATTTAAATTATTGTTTTTATTTTTTGTATTGACTGCAGATGGGTTTTTACCCATGGCAGTGATAATACAGTAAGTCACAACATGCAAAATAATCCACGACACTCGAACAAAGCACAGCACGCACAACTATATGACAAAAACAAAAGTCCAAAATTATGAACATAAATTGTTAGGGACATGAGAGTGCATTGAAAATTGAGCTCAGCTTGATCTTGCTCAGTCTTGGGTTTGTTAGAAAACTGAAATAGGATGTCAGTTAATTTTTTAGTATTATGCATCTTCCTTTCAATGCATTTTTTTTTTGTTAGTGTTGTCATGTTCAATGTATTGAATACACAATAAGAAAATTATAATTTTTAGTTTTCAGTAGAAGATACTCTACAAGAAGGAGCCTGTGCCAGAGTAGTGTATGATTCATTATTTTGAGTAACCTGCAGCTTAAGAAATGATCGTTGATCAGTGGTTTGAAAGTTCTAATTTATGACAGTTCTTTGTTACTGTAATTACAAAGTCACTTATCGCCCCAGAATTACAGGTTATGACAGGGAATGGTTAAAATTTCTCAAAACTTAACATAAGGTTACTGGGTTTTTGGACTTTTTCCATCGTCTGGAATTCTAGGTAATAGAGGTCACAGCATTTCAGAAACTGGATCTGTTTTCGTCTTCAGGTGAGAAAGGAAGACGCCTACTCAGTTGGGCCCCTTGCAAAGAGTTTAATCTTGATTATGATTGATGATTGTGATTATGTTCATGTTCACAAGAGCCCTCCAGTGCTCCCTATCCCGAGCCAGATTGGTCCAGTCCATACCATCCCATCCTATATCTATAAGAGCCATTTTCATATTGTCCACCTACCCACATCTTGGTCTTCCTAGTGGTCTCTTTCCTTCTGCCCTTCCAGTCAATATCCTATATGCATTCCTCTTCTCCCCCATTCACGCTACACGCCTTGCCCATCTCATCCTCCTTGACTTGATCATTCTAATTATACTTGGAGAAGAGTACAAGTTATGAAGCTCCTCAATATGCAGTTTTCTCCAACCTCCTGTCACTTCATCTCTCTTCAATCCAAACGTTTTTGTCAGAATCCTGCTCTCAAAGCCCCTCAGTCTATGTTCCTACCTTAATGTCAGAGACCAAACAGTGACACTACTGAGTCATTTAATTCGTTCATCTGTACCAGTGTCAGTACCACTGAAATTTTATGGTTATATTACACAGATCTGTTCCTTGATAACGCAGACGGAATGCCTTGCCCATTCATGACACGTTTGTCACCCTCGTATATTCGCAACTATGGAAGTAATTTGCTGAAAACGTATGGACAGCATTGCCCCTTCATATCTCGACTCACTGGAACTCTCACTTCTGCCAGCTCTTCTGACGAAGGTAAAGATGAAGTACACAGAAGTTTGTATTATTATGGAATGTCTGTAATTTAATTATAATGGGAAGTGAAACATATGACATTATACATTGGAACAGATACGCTGTTATCCAACCTGTCATACAGTCTGTATAATTATAAAGGAAGATAATTTCAGTAACTCCAGAGGCTTTATTTTGCCATCTGCAGTACTCATAGAAAAAAAAAAAGGATGATGTTTCACACCCTTTGGTTCCCATGCCTGAATAGTGATTAGATACAAGTACATGATATTTTTTATATTCTCGTTATCTGTTATGTGCTGTTTATTGTGCATAGGGCAATGTTCAGTTTTACCTGTATTAGACATAAGATCTTGTTGACTGAGATTATCTGAGGTCAATGCCATTATGGTGGGCTGATTAGGAATGCCTTAAAAACAACCTAAACCGACCTTACCTCAACTGAGACCGGGCTATTTTTGCGTTATTAGTACCATGAATTACTTAAAGTACTCAGGTTACCTAAATGCTGTAGAAGGCATTATTAGGTGAAAGGTAAAGGTAAAGGTAAGGGTAAAGTTGTCCCTGTGCATAACTTATTGGCAATACGCCATGAAGATGTATGGCGGGGTGGATGTATAGACCCACATTTACTTGACCTCAGCACTAGTTGGAGGTGAATGGTCAGCTTCATGCCCTGCGGAAAGAGCCCCTGGTACACATTGGATAGGAGGCTGATTGGGCCCCAGAGCCAGCCTGGACAACATGGAGAAATGAAAATTCTTGCCCCCCCCCATAGGGAGTCGAACCCCGACACCTAGGTCATCCAGCCCGTAACTAGTTACTATACTGACTGAGCTACCGCAGCTCCTATTTTAGGCATTATTACTGCAATAAAATCTTTGTAAAAGGAAAGAAAGAGATTTATTGAAATCTGTAAGTTGAATATCCCATTAAACCTGCTCTTTAAGGTTTACCAGAAAAATTATATTTTACATTTGTATGAAAATTCAAAGATTTTTTTGAATGGGGTATAAAGTTATTGCTCTTCTTCATGCTTGTTTCCAGTAGACATGGAAGCTGTGAAGAAATGCCCATTCTTAGCAGAAGTGACGCCGTTAGTGAAGGAAGCAAGCCAAGAGATGCAGGATGATGTAATCGATTTGACTCCAACATCTGAAAGTGGTAAGTAGTCCGTCCATATTCATTCTATGGAAATAGGAAATGCTTTAATTTGTGTATTACACCTGTAGGAGCCATCTAGTAGCTGTTTGTAGAGTGCTGGAGAGAACTGCAAAACAAGGATCTTTGTTTCCTTCACCAAATATTAGAGAGGCTTCAACCAAGAGGATGCGGTTGATGGGGCATGTTACACATTTGCGAGAGATGCAAAATGTGTATAGAATTTTTATTGGAAAACATGAACGAAAGACAACTTCAGAGATTTAACATTCATTGGAGGATAATATTGTAATTGACTTTAAAGACAGAGTAATGGAGGGTACAAAAATGGATTCATCTGGCTCAAAATATGGTCCAAAGGGTGGAAGCTTAGGATTCCATGAAAGGCAAGTGATTTCCTGATTAGTTTAGCAGCTTTCAGCTTTCCAGTAAGGACTGTCCTCGATGAAGTTGATTATTCTTATTTAACCACAGTTTTATGACCTTCACGCTGAGTGTATCATATATAGATAACCATGAATGTTTCTGAAGTCAAATAATTTTCTTGGGGAGTAAAGCGCGGCCGGTGCGTAAGGCTGACAACCTTACCGCCATCTTTGAGTCGATTGTCTAGAAAATGTGGGAACCTCAATGTCTCACAGCCCTATGGGCCTTCACGGCCTGCTACAGGGATAGCTTTACTTTTTTTACTTTACTATACATCATACATTCTTTCTGTGAATCTTGTTGAAGTGATTGTTTGTGTTAGAGCCTATGAGGAGGAAGGTGAGATAGACCTGAAGTTCACTTTATACATTGTGGCATGTCTGCTGAAAGCCAGAACTGTGAAGCCAGCAGATACAGCCGTTGCTAGGAAACGGCTCCTTAAACATTTCTGTTGCTAGGCAGTGGCTCACTAGCTGTCACATAATTGCCACAACAGATACGCATACAGCAATAGTATAGCTGCTGGAAGTGGTGTTTTCTGTGTGGTCCATGCTGAGGCTGTATAATGAGGACCAGTCAGTATGAGTATAGAGTCCAAGTCGAGAGTCTGAAGAAGAGTGGAGATGGAGGGCGTTCAGTCAGTCAGTTGAAAGTTGCAGTTGTGAGAAGTGAGAATCTTGTAGCGAGGCCAGGGAGAGTTCAGGAACCCAGGGGAAGGGGAATACCCAGCGTTAGAAGCCACTACCAAGCAATGCAGTGAAGACAGTGACTGAGAACACTAATCTGAGTGTGATAGTGATTTGTAAAGTGTAGTCACGAGTTGCTTGTTAAAGTGTCCAATAAATCTGATTACAAATCAAAAAGCTGTCTGTAGTCACTTATCACGTGACAGTATCTATCACGACATGACCTGGAACGTTGACACACTTTCCATGCTTGGTATTGTTTAATATATAGACACAGGCTGGTATGTAGGGTATATGGTTACGTATATATCATTATGTTTTCATACCATTTTGAGATTTCACATGCCTCACAGCATTGACCCATCGCAGTAATGAGATCAAAATCTCTTGTATGGTGTCATCTCATTATTTTCCAGTCTTCTGTATGAAATATCTCATCAAATGTTAACACATTTTAAAGGATTTGTTACAGTTTAGAATTTCATGAACTTACATTAAATGGTGTTTTTGTTGCCCTTACCGTAGCAGTCTACCTGGTTGTTATGTTAATATTTAAAATACAGAAATCTCCAGTGACATGAACTTAATGCAGACTTTAATGTTAAATAGACCTATTCATTCGAAAGCTTTTAGTGTGGACATACAGGTACTGCATCACTCCATATGATGAGTTTTCCTTTTGGAAATCGTCTAAAAATAAGGGAAATTGCCTCATAATGTTCAGTGATGAATTTATTTTCATTTAATGTGACACACGTTACAGTTTATAAAACAGGGAGATACTGGAGGAAGGTTTTTTTTTATTGCTAGTGGGGTGGGACTAAGTCCCTTGTACTGCAGCCACTTCTGGCCTATTGTACCAGCCCCAGATGATAGGCGAGGGTGATTGTGGAGCAATTGGTGGAATGAAGATTGGCAGGGGAAACTGAAGTACTTGGAGAAAACCTGCCCCAGCACCACTTTGTCCACGACAAATCCCACTTGATCTGACCCGGGATTGAACCCGGGCCGCCATGGTGGAAATCCAGCGACTAACTACTTGAGCTATGGCACGGCCTTGGAGGAAGGTTGGTATTATCAGCCAAACTGCATGGCTTCATAGTCACTGCTGTCTTCCAGGTATGGGTTTGGAAATCATGGTGCTCTAGAAGTGTGGAGATCATTTGCCTGATAGAGAATACCTATAAGACATCATTTGAGATCAGAAAGTCGGTCAGTGATCATTGTTGTGTAGCCTGTTGGTGAAAGTAACAATCTAGCCTCTGTGCTAAACACTAGAACAACACAGTGTGATGCGGTAGATTATCTTGTTTATAGAAATTGTTATGAACTTGGGTAAAGAAACACATACTTCAGAATTTGGACCTTGATCAACTTATAAAGCACCACAGCTGTTTATAGTAGATGTAGTGGGCATAATAGCATGCATGTGTATATTCAGGTGAACTTAATATTGAAGCATCTGGGATTATGGTAATTTTGTACAAATTACAACCTGAGTCTCTCCTTGTTTTAAGATACATATTTTCAATTATAAAATGTAATTTTATAAAAAAAAAATGTGATGCAGTAAAGTTATATGGAATGGTTTTGGGCCATGTTTGTTTGGATTATTCAAAAGTAAGGGGATATATTACAGCTGTCACCTTCCAGGTGTGTGATCAGGATTTATGGTGGATTGTTAATGTATTCATCTCTGGACAGTTTTAACATGTGTGATATTCAGATATTTTGGTCATCCACAGACTCAGTTATACAAATTATGAATCTTTTTATTATCTCACTGCTCATCTGGTAACTATACCAGTAGGGCTTTAGTGCACTAATGTCATTCAGCATTACTGACAGAACAGTAATTTTTAAAATATATTCTTTTCAGCACTTATCGTATATTGCACTACTTAAAATGGTCATCTTTTCTATATGCCCTTAATTGATAGACATATTTATTTAATGTTGTTGTAGTTCATATGTTGACTTTCTCTTTTCTTTGGGCAGCTTGGAAAGCTGAAGAAATTGTCTCTACTGAAGTAATTACACAGAGACTTTTTGAGAGTCCAGAATCTCAGTGCCCCATGGACAAGGCTAAAGGTGGTGGAATTATTTATATTATTCTGCAGAAACTTTTCCCCACATGCATGAATTGTAGCAGTGTCCTGTGAATTTATTCTTTTTGTCTTGCACTGTTATGATTTTTTTTCCTTCTTTCATTTTTTATTTCTTTATCTCAGCAACAGTACTAGAATCCTTCCTACTTCACTTTAAGATTTATAATAACTGTCCCAATGTACAATATACAAGAAACCATCCAATCATTTTGCAGTTCTATGAAATCCTGATTTCTTATCCCTTAACTTGAAGGGTTTCCCATGTTAGTGATAAATTTCTGTGGTGTCAGTCCAAATATACCAATGTTAAATTCCCTCTGTATGCACTAGTTATCCTTTGTTTAGTGTTCAAATTAATTACCTACTTGAGAAGGGGTTCTCAACCAGTATGCTAAGAGTTCTGTCAAGTGCACCATGAGATCTTGAAGAGAGGAATGATTATATGAAACAGAATTTGCATTTGCATAAACTTTTTAAGGTGAAATTTATAACAGAGCATCATCTTTCTCTTTTGTGATAATTTTATATTTTTACAAATTAAATAATGTTTGAAAAAAAAAAGTATACGTACTTTTGTTATAAAGTATAGTTCTCCATTCCAATTCTGGCAGGGCACAACAAGAGAAATGAATATCCCAAGTGTGCTGCAGGTACCAAAAGTTTGAGAACTGCTGCTCTACAGAAACAGTAAAAGAGACATTTATTTTGAAATCGGCTCTGTTATATTTATATGGTCTCTTTGCTTTATATTATTGGTTGGCTCTCTTCATATTTATATATTAGTAGCTAGATGATTTCATGTTGAGAAGTGTGCCAACAATTAAATATATGAAGGTATTTTAAGTACATATTTAAATGAAGTATGGCACAAAGTGAAACCTACAACATTTGTATGCTGCATGACTGCATAGGCGTACATCACATTGTTTTAAGTGTAAGACATATTACCACTAATTTCAAGTCTGTCTCATGCTTTTTTAAGGGTGCATCATGTCCTGAGTATGTAACATCATGTAAAAGGAGTCTCATGTCTTGAACAGGATCTCCGGTATAATGATTTTGGTTCCCATTGTATGTTGAAAATAGAATTTTAGTAATTTTCTGATATGATGATCTGCATCACTATCTGCTGATGGTGTGCTCTTAGCACACTAACCAGCACCTCTGTAGTCAGGGGTTTGAATCCCCTTTTCACAAATGATGGTTAGAAGTATGTCCTCATTTTCAGTAAACTTTCAGTTTTCAAAGGAAGGATGGAGAGTGGGTGGAAGAAACCATTCCACTTTTTTTATGACACCATTCAAAAATAGATGCATGAGCCATAGGTCTTTAGCTGATCATGTGCCACAGACAAAAACGATTTTGCAAGAACAATCCAGAACAATAATGTGGCAACTGTTGCATATAGTAGGGTCCAGAATTTTAAATCAGCATTCCTCTAGAACATCTATCTATGGACATTGAACATTGATAGATGTACAAAAAACTAAAGAATTATGAACAACTAAATCAGGGATGAAAGTTTAGTTGCAGTTTTTATTTCAAATGATTGGCCCTGTACATTTTCTTTCCTTTATTCTCTCACTGTTATGTATTATGTGATTCTAACCAATGTTTCAGGTGAAACATTTCCTTATGAGGAATTTTTCCATGAACAAATAATGCGCAAGAAGAAGGATCATTCATATCGAGTGTTCAAGAAAGTAAATCGCTTGGCTGCAGAGTTTCCTAAAGCCTATGAATACAGCTGGGGTGAACGACCTATTACAGTGTGGTGCTCCAATGATTACTTGGGTATATCGCGTCATCCTGAAGTGAAGGAAGCTGTTAGGTGAGATTATTAATATAATTTATATCTACAAGTTATTTAATTACTCTCAGTATCATATCATTTATTGTCTTCAGTATTAATAAGACTTTAATCCATTATTAAGCCTGTAACCCATATTCTTTATTTAATAAGTTGGGGCTTTTTTTAGTACTAGTGGGGTGGGACAGTCCCTTGTACTGCGGCCACTTCTGGCCTATTGTACCAGCCCCAGATAGGTGAGGGTGATTGTGGAGCAATTGGTGGAATGAAGATTGGCAGGGGAAACCAAAGTACTCAGAAAAAACCTGCCCCAGTGCCACTTTGTCCACCACAAATCCCACTTAACCAGACCCGGGATCGAACCCGGGCCACTGCGGTGGGAAGCCAGCGACTAGCCACTTGAGCTATGGCGCGGCCAAGTTGGGGCTTTGGTGCTGACCGAGTAGTTTTGCAGACATAGGGTAAAGGAAGTCTGAATAAATTGTTTTTGGTGAATGTGACAGTTTTCTGTTATTAAGAACTTATGTCATGTCATGTGTATGGTTTGAATTGACATGTACTGAAGAAATGTTACATCTTCCAAGTTTAGTTGCTTACATATAGTGTAATATGAATGTTTGCGACAATGTTATTGTTTCAAAATTATTTATCACCTTACAGTAACATGGTTGACCTCCAGTAAGTAGCATCGTTCGTGGTATTTAATTTTTTGTAATGTTATGCACCAGTAAACTTTCAGATGTAAATCAGTTTCCATACGCACACAATAAGAAGTGGAAATGTCGTGTGAAAATGCAGTCATGTTTTCAGGAAGTTAACAGTTTATGTTTGGAATTATTCACCTTATTACAATGTTGTATTAATATAGAATTTATGTACAGACTGAAAAGTGCTACAGACTCTAGTTAGAAAACTGAATGCTGTATCTTACCTACCATGGCACATATTACAACAAATCTACATATTAGAATTAACATTTTAAAATTGCACATACATGTGACACAAGAAAGGAAAACACTTCAGGACAGAACACAATTATTCCTGAAGCCTTAATCTGCACAAAATATTGTTTTCTATAAAGAGAAACTCCAGCATAAGCAAGGTTCTTTTATAAAAAAATTTATTTTTAAGTCATGTCATTATGTTGATATTGTAATGTGTATAGCTAGGCAATTGCGTAAGTGTGCTCAACAATAGGATGGATGTTTATAGCTCATTGCTAGGCAATGGTCAGCGCGCTAATGGGCTGGTGAGGTAGCTATCACATGACTAGCTTTCTGTGGAGTCCATGCAGCAACCATTGCTATGCATTTGTTCAATAAACATGTTTTAACAATATAGGTTGTTTTTTCTGTGTGGCTGGTGCGGAGGCTATATAACGGCAATTACGAACATAACAGTTTTCAATCCAAGATGTTCAGTAAGATAAATGTTAACTCTACTGCTGTGTTATTAGACTAAAATCGAACAAGCGATATTCCACTTTAATCCACATCAAGAAATAATCTTCCATTTTCATTGCATTTTCTGGGCTATGAAAATGCATTTTGACACTCTTTTGTTTTCATATTTTTACATTAAAATTTTATTATTCTAGGAAAATATTGAGGAAGTGATACAGAGTGAAGCAATTAATTAGGATGTCTTTCTACATCACTGATTTGAACATAGAAATACTAGTAATGTTTAAATCTCACAATAGTAAATTAAAATGTGACACAAAGTGCATTGAGNCTTTCTTCATAGTCACCGCCGTGAAAGCCTCAAATCTTACGAGTTAAACTGTGTTCTAATATATGAAAATGTAATTTATTTAGGCAAGCTCTGGAAGTGTATGGTGCGGGTGCTGGAGGCACAAGGAATATTTCAGGAAACTCGCTGAACCACGAGTTGTTGGAGGCAGAGCTAGCCTCTCTTCACCAGAAGGACTCAGCATTGTTATTCACTTCCTGTTTTGTAGCTAATGATTCCACTCTCTATACTCTTGCAAAGGCCCTTCCAGGTGAGTGCCAACTCTGCCAGGTTCATGACTTTATTATTTTTTATAAACATTGTCACACCATCGACCGCCTCTGTGGTCTAGTGGTCAGAGTTCCGGGCTACAGATCCAGAGGTCAGGTTTCCATTCCCGGCACTATCAGATTTTTTCGGAGAAGTAGTGGCTCTGGAATGAGGTCCACTCAGCCTCGTAAGGATAATTGAGGAGCTATTTTAAGGAAATAGCGGCTCCGGTCTAGAAAACAGAAATTAACGGCCATGGGGATTCATTGCGCTGACCACGCGACACCCTCTATCCGCAAAAGTTGGCACGAAATCTTCGCTGACAAGCGGCGGTTGCTCGGTCGGTATGGTTCGCTTGCGGACTACAGGCCATGGTGTTTTTTTTTTTTTCGCATCATCATTATACTGGATCACATAGGAGTTCAAGCAGCCTGCTTAAAAGCTGTTATTAATGGATTACTGGAGACAGTGATTTGTAAACTCAGGTATCCCCTGAGTGACGTGGTAGTTGCATTCCTAGGAGTGGCGGCATAGCCCAAAATTTTTGCTGATATTTGTTCTTTGATTTCACCGCCTTTAGTTTTCATTCCAAAGTATACAATTCATTTAAGTTACTGTCATTCATTTTAGCTGGTTATGAATACAGTTTTCTTTGTTTCATACAAATTATTCAGTTATTTTCAATCTTTATTAAAACAAATATGTGAAATTAAAGAAAATGGAATTTCCCTAAGTCAGAATCATGTATGGTGGGAGATAACAATACCACATTTTCTGACTATGATCATTGCATGCACTATTTTTTAATTTTTTATTTATAGCACAAAGAAGATATTGTAACACATATGTGTGATAGTAGACAGGGTATGGATTGGTGCATAGATTTATTAACCGCTTACAGGTCATAACTACAAACAACTATAACACTGTTGCTGATTTCAACACTTTACTAGTCTTCTCCAGCCTACAGTGTCTTCAGTAGTTGCTGCTTGGTAACACCTCTCAACAATTGAAATTCTTCAGCTTCTGTGCTCACAACATTACTGTCCGGCGAATATCCCACAACTGAACTGGCAACTCAATTATAGCACCATCTCTTCAGAGACTCCCTTGCAGAACTCATCTGAACTCATTCCTCCAACTGTCAGAGTTCCATCATGGCACGGACCACATAGGAAACACCATTCTTCTATATTTGTATGCTTATTTGTTGCCGCAGGAACATGTTTACTGAGCCGTTGCCTAGAAACAGTCACTGTTTATTTTCCTTTTGCTTAGCAGTGTCCATACATGCTATAAAATGTTTGGGGAAGATTTGTTTCTGCATGAAATATTTAATTTATTATTGAAATAACTGATGTCTAATATGAATATAAGCAGGCTTTGCAAATGAAACAGTTTTAGTATATGTCACTAGAATTGGTGAGAGAAGCAAGCCATGGCGGTGCAGTAGGATTATGTTACATTAAAGGGTTTGTTAACATAATTTTATGGGGAACACTTTGGAGCTCTTGTTATAGATATGTAACATATATATATAAACATTTTTAGATATGCGGTATTTATACACATTTTTACTTTGGTGGTTTTTATTGTTAAGTATATTTTATGTCATTTTTTTACAAAATTATTAGTTTCTTTTCCATGTTACAAGGTTGCCATATCTTCTCGGATGCTGGAAACCATGCCTCTATGATTCAAGGGATACGCAACAGCAGAGTTCCAAAACATATTTTTCGTCACAATGATGTAGACCATCTAGCGGAACTTCTGTCTACAGTAGCATCACATGTTCCAAAGATAGTGGCTTTCGAAACAGTGCATTCAATGACAGGTGCAGTATGTCCGCTGGAAGAAATGTGTGCTGTGGCTCATGAACATGGAGCACTCACTTTTGTGGATGAAGTTCATGCCGTTGGCTTGTATGGTGAGCATGGAGCAGGCATTGGTGAACGTGATGGACAGTTGGCAAACATGGATATAATATCTGGTACTCTAGGCAAGTACAGAAATAGAATGTGTGTTAGCATCGACCGCCAGGTTTGTTGGTGGTTTATAGCTATTTGCTATATAAATCATATTGCAGGGTAAACAATTGTATGATCTTTAATTTACTACAGTAAATAATAATAAATAATAATAAAACCAAAGTTCTACTGTCTGTATTTCAGCATCAAAACATTTATAAACCATGAAGAAAGCAGTCTTCTGGGATTTATAAACCGTACCGTATGAAATTCCTGTCTGTACTCCTCAATAATAATCTCACACAGTTTGTGCTTATTTTTTAAATATTCTATATAAAAATCCATCCTAATGCCAGTTCCCCACCTCACAGTATTATCACTTTTTTCTGTATGCTATGTGCAAGCTCTTATTCATGTTTTGAATCAGTACTCATAATTTTTTTTTAACAAATTTGTTTTAGGCAAAGCATTTGGCAATGTAGGAGGCTACATTGCCAGCACTTCGTACCTGGTGGATATGATTCGCAGCTATGCAGCAGGGTTCATCTTTACAACCTCTTTACCACCAACTGTGCTTGCTGGAGCGCTAAAAGCCATTAGAATTCTGCGTTCAGATGAGGGACGGTCCCTGCGAAAAGTGCATCAGGAGAATGTCTGTTACTTACGTCAGCAACTTCTAGATAAAGGTTTACCTGTGGAACACACTCCTTCACATATTATTCCAATAAAAGTAAGTAAAATGAAATAATAATGTACAGCAAGTTCACAATTAGTGCAAGTTCGAATAATACTATATTCATTTTAGTGCAAATTATACAGCCGTACCAGGTTGCATTTAATGCAAACCAGAATTCAGTTAATGTGAGACTAGTGCATGCACAATTGAGGTTACTGTTAGGGTTTTAGATGTCACTGCTTCACTCTGCAGTTGTTTATCTTCTCATGTGCTGCTGCCTGCCTTAATATATGTTATTTTTCATGATTTATTTTAATTGTTTAAAGAAGTGCCCTAAACAAAATGGAAAAAAAGGAAGTTTCCTTCAGACAAAAAACTGAAAATGCAAAAAAGGAGAGGCTCATTATTACATTATAGAAAAAAAAATTGATGTGACTGAATGGCATGGTCACAGCAACTCAAAAATAGGACGAGATTTCGCAATACCTGACTCTACGGTACAGAATGTTATAAAACACACAGGGAAAGACAAGAAAAAAAAAGTAAAGCTCCATCCACTTTTTGTTGTGTGCAAACATCTGCAAGGAATAGAAGTGTTACTGTATGGACTGATGATTGGAATCAAAAACGCATTCTACTTAGCAGAGCAGCTATTCAGACAAAACTTTAAATTTGTTTAAGTGCAAGTGAACAAGAGTACTCTCAAGAGGTTTTAAGATATCTTCCAAGCTGTAAAAGATGTGAAGCAAAAAGTTATGGATGCTGACCCTAACCTCAGTCAAAGCATGAAAATTTGCTGAGATGTGGATAAAGTACTATTTGTCTACTGGCATGTATATGAAGATTTAAAGAAAGAAAAAGCAGTTGAGGCTACGCTGCTAAAATATTTCAAAGAACTGTAAACATGTTTTTGTCAGTGTAAGCTTACATTTAGGTATGATATTTAGAATTTAGTTTTTTTTTTTTCTCCATAATTACTCTGTGACTTTGTTAACGATAGATTTAAAATTATAAGTATATATTTTTTTCCCTTTACTGTAATATTTCGTTAATGAACATATAAAAAACTTGTGTTTAAAATTTTTCGGGGCACAGGGTAGCATGGTTGAGTCACTATGCTACAAGCTGGAAGGTCACAGGTTTGATACCTGATGAGGTCACTGGATTTTTCAAGTGACTAATCCTTCCAGCTGTACTATGGGCCTGGGGTCAACTGAATTTCTAACAGAAATGAGTACCAGGAATTTTCCTTAGGGTAAAGGGTGGCTGGAGCATATGGCTGATGACCTGAATGCCACCTCTTCACTGATTGTCTAGAAAATTTGAGAGCCTCAACATCTCACTGTAAGGGCTCCATGGCCTGTTACAGGGATAGCTTTACTCAGTCACTCATTGAGCTGAATCCATCTTGGGAAGCTGCCAATTGTGCAGCTACACAAGAACTTTCCAGCATTTTATGGAACTGAAGTTTCATTACTGTGTTCACAAGAGCCATCCACTGGTCCCTATCTTGAGCCAGATTGATCCTGTCCCTACCTTCCCATCCTCTCTCGCTAAGATCCGTTTCAATATTGTTCACCCACTTATATCTTGGTCTTCCTAGTGGTCTCTCTCCTTCTGGCTTTCCCACCAATATCCTATATGCATTCCTTTTCTCTCCTATTCGTGCCACATTCCCTGCCAATCTCATCCTCCTAGACTTGATCATTCTAATTATACTTGGAGAAGAGTACAAGTTATGAAGCTCCTCATTATGCAGTTTTCTCCAACCTCCTGTCACTTCATCTCTCTCCGATCCAAATATTCTCCTCAGCACCCTGTTGTAGGCTCCTCATGTTTTTTAAACAGCACATTTCTGCACAGTTGCATACCATGATCTCAGTTTTTTGAACATGTAATTGTATTATTTTAATATGTGATACTATTGTGGTATGTTTTCCTGGCCTCTTAAAAATAATAGTGTGGTTGATGTTCAGTCTGAAAAATGTGAGTTGGAGTTCCTTCTTATTCAACCCTGTTTCAAGCATTCTGTTGTATTTCCAGTGGGAAAAATAAAGAAAATGTGGTATTTGTGAACAGGATTGAAAAAAAAACAGTCCACTGGTCACCAGTGGTGACCAAAAGCTTCTAGTTTCCCACTTGGCAATTTGAATTGGCTCTTGAAGCTCAAGCAGTCTGATTTGGTTACTGTTCATAAGGCTGTGAACAAAATAGTCTATATAATTAATTTATTTATTTATATAAACTTGTTTCTGTCATTATCTTATGTCTGACCAGTAGGTATTTAAGACAGATATTGTGAGGACAAGAGGAAATTAATCTTACATGCGAATTGGAGGTAAGAACCATTGCAACTTTCCAGAATAGCCTAATCCTTTCTCATGCAACTAGAATATTTGTCTGGTTAACACATCTTTAAAAAATGTTGCACCCAGCATGAATTACATTGAACAAAGTCTATAACACTTCTGTCCTCAACTTTTATTGTTTGTGAAATATTATTTGTCTAGAGTAATGGACATGAGATATTTTATTTTGTCAGATTGGTAATGCGCTTCAGTGCAGCCAGGTGTCTGATTTGCTTCTTCAAGAATATGGCCATTATATGCAAGCAATAAACTACCCTACAGTTCCAGTAGGACAAGAGAAACTACGTCTTGCTCCAACTCCGCATCATACAAAATGTATGATGGACAATCTTGTGAGAGATATGCTGGAAATCTGGACGCGCCTAGAGCTCCCTCTCTACACATAAGCATCCAACAGCACAATTTGAGAGGTAGTATGTGGCCATACATACTGTTTACATTTCATATCTGTGTCTATGTTTGTCTTTCTTGGAGTTAATATGATGTCTTCAGCATATAATGATATACATGAAAAGTACCTCCTAAATGTGGTGATATTGTAAACAGAAACTGAGCTTGTTGGTTCATTCTTGTCATGTCTGGTAGCCCTAAATATTAGACCTTGAGTAGAGTGTCTTTATGCCTGGTCAATTAACGATAATATTGAGATGGTACAAGTGGGACTATTGTATCTGAAAGGATGTTGAGGAATATTGGAGTGCAGATGAAGCACAAACCTGTTCAGTCGGTGCATTTGTATACATGAGAATGAAATTCATGTCCACTGTACATAACAACACAGCAAGAATATTGATTAAGCAGAATATAACACTTCAAAAGTTCAAGCAGTAGCTCTGTAGTTGAGGTGTGTAGACTATTAATATGCATACCGTAGACTTGAAGACTTATGTATCCAGAGATATTAGCTTTTAAAGGGTCCAAAAGGGACCATGTGACCACTGATGTATCAGGGAAAATAGGTCCATTCACTGATGATCTAGCTCATTCCATGGCTTAACATTGTTAATGTGATATGTATATTGAATAATTTATTTGTGTGTCTTAAAATGGACTGATTTCAGTACTCTCAAGCTGAGAGCACAGTGTCTTATGGGTTGGTGCATATGCATGTGATGGAGGTTCGTGTATGACAGATGACCCTCAGACATTTTGTGCCTTCAGTAGGAGCTGTACACAATGGAATGCATGTTTTCATATCAATAAAACCCCAATATTTACTTTTTTTCTTCAAATATGTTTACAGTGAAACCTTAATTTTACAATTTTGAAGGGACCACTTAATCACTCACTCACTCATGGAGCTGAGCCCATCTTCAGAAGCTGACAATTGTGCAGCTACTCAAGAAGTTCCCAGAATTTTATGGAACCTGAAGGTTCATTATCATGTTCACAAGAGCCCTCCGCTGGTCCCTATCCTGAGTCAGATCAATCCAATCCATACCATCCCATTCTACCTCTCTAAGATCCATTTTAATATCGTTCACCCTGTTCTCAAAAACCTCAGTCTGTGTTCCTCACTTAATGTCAGAGACCAGGTTTCACACCATACAGAACCACAGGTAATTAATATAAATGTAAAATCAGGAAAATGAAAATGATGTGATTAAGAGATGATGTTGCGCATCAAGTACTTTACCGCCACAAAATGGACATGCAGCAGATGATGGAACTTCTGCTGAAGAAAATGACAGCTTATGAGGAAAAGGCGTCGGCCGATAGGAAGGCCGACAAAGAAGAAATGGAGGCAAACCAGGCCAAGACGGAGGCCAACAGAAAAGATGACCAGGCCAAGGCGGAGGCCAGACACGAAGAAATATTGGGCATAAGAGAAGAGATTAGAACCAACNTAATTGTAGCCGTTATTTGTAGATTGTTAAATAAACCAATTAACCATCTCTACGGCGTCTTCGGTAACGCAAACACGTTACAATATCAATAAAACCCCAATATTTACTTTTTTTCTTCAAATATGTTTACAGTGAAACCTTAATTTTACAATTTTGAAGGGACCACTTAATCACTCACTCACTCATGGAGCTGAGCCCATCTTCAGAAGCTGACAATTGTGCAGCTACTCAAGAAGTTCCCAGAATTTTATGGAACCTGAAGGTTCATTATCATGTTCACAAGAGCCCTCCGCTGGTCCCTATCCTGAGTCAGATCAATCCAATCCATACCATCCCATTCTACCTCTCTAAGATCCATTTTAATATCGTTCACCCTGTTCTCAAAAACCCTCAGTCTGTGTTCCTCACTTAATGTCAGAGACCAGGTTTCACACCATACAGAACCACAGGTAATTAATATAAATGTAAAATCAGGAAAATGAAAATGATGTGATTAAGAGAAAAATATGGTATGTTTATACCATAAGTTTGGCAAGCCATTTAAAATATCCATGTTTGAACATGATAGTACCAAGCCATTTAAAATATGCATGCATTAATGAAAATTTAAAAGATATCTGCTACTTGCAGATAGGACCACATTGGCATGACACCTTTCAGTCTGTAACACCAGTTTGACACATGCCCCAATATGCATATCAGCTTGCTTTGTATTACTAATTTAACACTTATCATAAGTGCTTTCCACGTTGCTTTATTATCCATATTTCAGGCCAAGAAATTTAGTTAATAAATTAATTTCCTCATTTATATACAACACCTAGAATTATGTAGTTATCTGTAATCAACTTTACAAGAAAACAAATGCTACAGCTACCCAAGTGTAATACTATGAAATGCATTTGTATCTGCATTTGGGTAAGATCACTCATGCAAGGTTCAGGAATATTCATATGAAAACATACGGCTCTTTTACCAAGACTAACCTGGAACATGAGCAGAATAGCACCAGTGTTTCTGTTAATTGTCCTAGATAGAATACTGCAAATGTGAAATCTGGTGAACATCCTTTGTCAGGATAAAAAAAAAATTAAGTGGAATTGGGAAGAAATGTAAATTGGACGAAATATATCAGTTAAAATTTAACATTGTTTTAATCTGTTTGTATTTAATGAAATTGTTATTACACTGTGTACTATTTTATATCGTTTTTATTGTTTATCTTGACTGTTTCAATGTTTGGAACTTATTTTAATATTATTATTGACATGTTCTATATCCAGGGTTGTATTTCAACCTATGTTTTGGATTTACTGAATTTGAAATAAATGAATAAATGAATGAATGAATGAATGAATGAATGAATGAATGAATGAGCTTTTGGCCAAGACCAACCAAAAAGTGCTAGAATCAAGAAAAAATGTAAAATCTATGAATGCAAAATCAAAGTTTCACTCTCTAATGTACTTCTATTTTTTTTAATATAGTTTTATAATCTCTACCAAGAAAAAAAAATGCTGTCATTGTTCAACGAAGCCTGTGAAGTTGGCCACTCATGTAAATCGACCAGCTGCTGTTGGCTGAATCTTTATGGAACATCAAAATTGTGTTGATGCACACATGGCCAGCCCTCTTTAACTTGGCCACCTATGTATCTTGTATCTTACACACCTGCTTGCATTTTGTATTTTGATTCTCTGTGTATTTTAAACATTCTATTTTGGCTGCACAGAAAAATGACCAGTCTACACAAATGAAAATTTCTAGTTAAAAGTCCACTAAATTATGTTTTCTGGTGTTACTCACTTTGCTGTAATTCATAAGTATAAATATGTATTGCTTCAGATCCACTAATTTGACATTAAGTCATATAGTTGGGTCGTGCCAGAGCTCAAGCAGTTATTCGTGGCTTCCCACTGTGGCGGCCCGGGTTTGGTCAAGTGGGATTTGTGGTGGACAAAGTGGAGCTGGGGCAGGTTTTCTCCGAGTATTTCGGTTTCTCCTGCCAATCTTCATTCCACCAATTGCTCCACAATCACCCTCACCTATCATCTAGGGCTGGTACAATAGGCCAGAAGTGGCCGCAGTACAAGGGACTTAGTCCCACCCCACTAGCAATAAAAAACGTAATATAGTCTGCATAATAGTCACAGGGTCAGAAACAAAATAAAGACTTTCAGGAATCTCTGAGATTGTGGCAGAAGTAACAGAAAACAATACTTATGTATTTCATTACTACAGATGCAAAATTGATAATTTTAAGACTTCTTTCTGTATAGTGGTTAAGTTGGTTAGGTTTGTCTAATGACAGGTGGTCACAATAGGCTGCTTTCATTGCATTGAAAATTCAGGTCTATAGATATGATAAATACTAATAATTAAGCTACTAGTATTAAGTGCACCTTAAATCAGAATAAGTTGGGATATCTGCCCAGTTATGACATTTGCATTTTAGACCAACAAAAATGATCTGCTAAACACAGCTGAAAGTAATAAAATATTGGGGAAATCGCTCATAGAGTGGACACTGCTGAACTGAGATCACTTGAAGACACAGCTTAATTGGTAACAATGACCACTGTCAAGAATCCAGCTGTTCATTGTTGTTTATTGATGCTGAGNTCCTCCGAAACGTCGGTTAACACCACATATACACGGCGCTAAATCCCAGAAGACTGCTTTCTTCAAATAAAGTATTGTGACATGACACCTGAAAGCCGGGATAGGCCATTCCTAGACAACCACTCACTAAAACACATTTCCATGGCAATGGATAAAAACAGAATAACAGAGGAACTGTAAGACATGGTCACTTATATTCAGTTCACCCCAAAGTTATAAAAGAGTTAGTTCAGTTCATTCATGAGTGAGGTGTCATTTGGATTTGTCATTCATCCTTAGTAATATATAAGTGACTGATTTGTAAATCAGATCCAGGTCAGTCACAGTGGAAGAGAAAGCACTAGTAGTCCAGTAAGGAATGGAGTGAGTCTTAGGCAGCGATTGATTGTGAGCTGTTATAATTGATTGTAATTTGAAAGGAGCGCCAGTAAATCCAATCATTCAATCCAGAAGCCATTATTATTAGTCATGGAGCCCCGGACACATGACAGTTTGGTGTCAGGAGTGGTAAGGATCTTATGTACGTGATTGGATTGGATTGGATTGGTCAGTTAGTGGATTGAAGATTGAATTATGTAGTTACAGCGCCAGAGTACCAAAAAAGAAATGGAAAAGATGGAACTCCCGAAAGCCATGCAAATATGATGGCAGAAATGATATCCGACCAAGAAAAATGACAAGGTTGGAAACCAAAGCAGGTGCCAAACAAAGGGAAATGAAAGAGGAAATGAAATGGGTCATGAAAGCCGAGATGACTTTCTGCATCTCCTGGATGGACATGCGTCAAGAGAAGATGGAGGCCACAGTTCACGCCCTGAGGACATGCTGAAAAGAGGAGATGGCCTGCCATTTGTCTTAATTAAGTAATTCTATTTTGGCACAAATATGTATTAACTGTTATGAATGTGTTATTCACTCAGAGATATTGGGTTTTTGGACTTTATCCATCGTTCTGGACCAGTGATTGAGGCTAGCTCTTTCTAAGGGACCCAACAGTATAGGTGTTTTCCCTCACCTGAGGACGGAAACAGATCCAGTTTCCAAAACGTCATGTTTTTCTTAGTTACTATCTTAAAATCAGGACGATGGATAAAGTCTGAAAACCCAGTATCTCTGTGTGTTATACACCATCGTCAGAATCCTGTAGTAACTATGTGTAATTCACTGTTGAATGAAAATAATTTTGAATACAGTTTCCTGCATTACATATAATGTTGTTGCCGACACTCTGTTAATTTTATTATGCAAGATGGACTAATAAGACTCAGGTACAGTGATGTATACAGTGTTAATTTGGCTATTTTTAATAATTTATGAAGAAAATAGAGACTATTTTCTATGTGTAAGGTAATAAAGATTGTTACATGGTGGAATGTATCCCTGCATTTTGATTTGCCTCATTACATACCTTAATTTCAGCATGATGGGAACAGCGACAACAATGATAATGGTGTTTTAGGCAGTGGTAGAGGCAGTGGTGGTGATATAAGATTCAAAGTTTGAAGCAGTAATTTTGCATAAGGTGAAAACTTATTTGTGAGACTGTAATGCCATAGAATTTCGGCAAGGGTTTTTGTAACTTTTAGGTATTAAGTTATCTTGGGTTCACCTTAGAGAAGTTAGACAAAGGGTAATGTTTGTAGTACAATGCGGAAGAGCGACGTCAGTAGAAATTTGTCGCATTGCTTAGACCGCTAATTCACACGGAAGAGACTGAAAACGGCTGTACGGCCAAGGCATACACAATGCTGACTCAGCAAGACAGCCTGAGGAGATCCAACACTCTTTACCCAGCTGACCAACGAGAGACGGACCCTTGGGGGAAAATTCGCTCTAGTGAAGAGGCGGAGCTTACCCCAAAGACAGGTGTCAGCAGGGGGAAGGTTATAAAGTTGCGGACGCAACAGGAAGAGTGTCTATCATTGAATCTATCATTGAATCGATCATGGTATCTTTTTGGATCAAACAATCTTTTGATCATCGTAACTGAGTGTAGTAGCCAGCCAGAACCATGGTCATGCCAGACCAAGTGAGGGACACCATCAGCTTCCTACACCAAGTAAGTGGAATTGTTCATATCAGTCATGGATATACAGTGAGATATTTTTGAAGTGTCGTGTTACAGGTTTAGGGCAGAGAGAGTGTAGGCCCTGAGTGGGGATGTAAGAAGTACCTCGAAGGCTAGGGATGGTGAACCCAAGTGTATTTTTCTTTAAATTACAATGTGTGCATAACTGGCCACTGTCGGCCATGAAAGTGATATGTATAAAGTGTATATATTAGTAGACAAGAGTAGACCGAGTGAAGGGGATGTGTGGTGTTAATGACTTACCCCCCAGTCACACCCTCTATTTCCCCGTTCTCCCGTACCTCCCTGTGTTGTCGGGACTGTGAACTCACAGCCAAGAGGTAGTTAACGAGTCGAGTACCAAGTGCTCAGCCTTGCAACTGGCCATTCCCCAAGGGCGCACCGGCATGGATGGCGGAAGAGGTGGAGAGATTCCTCCACTCCCCCTTTGCGCCATAACATAGGGTGACAGCGGTGGGGTACCTCCACGCCCCCTGTCACCACGGTGTAACAGAGACATTTTCATGTATCATAAAATATGAATGATAAATGAAGATAAATTCATTTTCCTTCATAATGCCAGAAACTTTACTTGGTTTTGCACATACAGTCAAGTATATTTGTTGGGTAAGGAAACAATTTAATTTTTTTACTCTCTTCACCCATTGGTATGTACAAAAGTTGAACCAGTCACTTTGCAGCCTTCTACAATTATTTATTATTTGGAATATACAAAGAAAGGATGGTGTATGGCGCCATGAGTTTTATTCTTTGGAAAAAAAAAAAACTTAAAGCAAAGGTATAAAAGGCAATGCTATCCATGTAGCAGGCCATGAAGGCCCATGGGGTTGAGATGTCGAGGCTCCCATATTTTCTCTAGACAGTTGGCTCACAGATGGCAGTAAGATTATCAGCCTTACCCGTCAGCCACCCTTTACCCCCCAGGAAGATTTCTGTTACTCATTTCTGTTAGAGGCTGTGTCGACCCCAGGGCCATGGTATGGCTGGAAGGATTAGGTAGACTGAAAAATATCTACCTCATCAGAACCCAAACCCATGACCTTCTGGCTTGGAGCATAGTGCCTCAACCAACTACTCTAGTACCAAGGTTTAAATGGCCAGTAACTCTCACTGGCCCAGAGTTGAATGCCAGGATCAGTAGTAGAAGTACATGATTTTACCAGTCATTGATATCTTCTGTAAGTGAAGGTATAAAATCATGAAACAAAAAACATTATGTAAGAAATCTCTGCTCTGTAATTTCACACGATTCCTATGTTATTAAACCATAAATTACATTGTGTAGCAATCCTGAAATACATTATACACGCATGGTCATAGATTTACGTCAAAAGTAAACTAAACTAATACCTAAATTTGCAGATTTTCATTCAAATTATATCTAAAAGTTTGTAATGATGGTACATTAGTATTATGTTTTTGGATATTATCCATCATCTTGTCTCTATCTAAAAACGCCCTGTTTATTTTTCAAAACACAACGTTTCAGAGACTGGATTCTGCCTTTTACCTGAAGACAGAAACAAAATCCACTCTCCAAAACGTTGTGTTTTGAAAAATAAACAGGACAATTTTTAGATAAAGACAAGACAATGGATAATATTAAAAGCATAATATTTGTACCATATTTTCATTCACTTACAAGAATAATGTTTTGCGCATTGTGTAGAAATATCTTTTGAAATGGATGGCTTTCCAGATGCATATGTTAGCCAGAAATCTTTACTGATACCTTCAGAACACCCCTGCAAGGTCATTTTATTTTCAACAAAGGCTTATCTCATTGCAGGTAGGCAAGAAAGTTTGAATATATGAAATTATATTGTTCAGTTTTTGAAAAACAGGGTCCTAAGGGTTTTTAACGTGTTCACAAGAGCCTGTTGCTATCCATTTCGTGAGCCAGATTAATACAATCCATATTAACCGATCCTTTTTCTCTTAGATCCATTTTATATTATTCTCTCACGTACGTTTATGTCTTCCTACTGGTCTATTTCCTTCTGGCCTCCACAAAAACTTTGCATAAATTTCCGTTTGGCTCCATGTGTGCTACATGCCCTGCCCAACTCATCCTTGACGTTGTCATTCTGATTAATCTATAGCTTACTCTAATGTAACTGTTCTATTAAAACGCAAACAATTTCATTATAACAATGAAAATATACGTACAACCTTCTATATCGACAAATTTCCTCTTGACAAACTTAAAATATCCAATGCAGAGTGCTGCAATGCCGACGGTGCAACTAGATGGCGTAAAGCGTTTGTAGTTAGGCCACTAGATAGCAGTTCGGTATGGTATTCACACTCTCAGGAAAGAGGAGGGGGTTTCTCACCAATCCATCGCACTTCACACGCTTCACACCTACACACTGCTGCACACATACCAGAACGGACAAGAAAAGTTTAGGAAGTTTGTCAAAGGAGGAAGGGGAAGTTATGGGTTGATCCCTGACATGGAGGTTGGGAGGGGTAATGAAATATCAGCCGTTAAGTGATCGAAGGATTGATAGGGCAATCATTGACGTAACACGTGATGTTAGAGCCAGAGTGCATTTAGATGTGTTGAGATGCAGGAATTTGTGTGTGCTGAGATGAGTTTCCACTTGATTGAACATTCACAGAGTGGATCGAAAACAGGTTTCTCATGACCTGTCTATTTACATGTGTCTAGATTCATTCAGGGCTTTATAAAGATGTGGAGTCCCACTCACGTTCAGGTGACAGGTATGTATAATTGGCTAACGTAATTAGTGTACGTGGAAACGACATCGAATATTATTTTAACATCCAAATGCATGTAACAGAAAGGACTGAATTATTTGTGGGTTATGCGGGCATTTAATTTCGCATTTTCTTACAAACGTCATATTACGGTTTAGCATATTTTGCCGTCTTAAGGAAAATAGGCCTGTAGACTGCGTGTGTTCATTTTATCTTTTGAACCAGTTGACCGATTTTCCCGAAATTTGGAATGCGCGTTATGGTGTTTGAGGAAAAATTTCCTGCGCCCAGAAGTAACAATAATATGGCTGACGCAGGAACTTTTGAGGTAAAAGCGGAGCGAGCACCACGGTTCTAAGGTAATTTCTTTCGCAAATTGTAAAAACTGCAAAATGATAGCAGTGAGAAAATTTCATTTAGCTTTCAGGTGTGATAACTTGGAACTAAGAATATGGAATTCTGTATGGAGTTGGCCTATAAACATTCCCACAAATTGTGTATGAAATAACAATATTGAGTATGAGTCAATAATTATAAACATAGTGACCATAATGACAGTGTAAAACTTTGATTTTATATGTGACAAATTTAATTTTAAAGGGAAAGGGGGCACGTGGTAGCGTAGTGGTTAAGGCACTATGCTACAAGTTGGAAGGTCGCGGGTTCAAATAGCGATGAGGTCACTGGACTTTTTTTAATTGACCTAATCCTTCTGGCCACACTATGGCCCTGGGGTTCACTCAGCCTGTAACAGAAATGAGTACCAGGAATTAAATAAATAATTTTCCTGGGAAGTAAAGCACTATGGGCATGTTACAGGGATAGCTTTACTTTACTTTTTTACCTCCTTCTGGAATGTGAAACCATGTTGTCCAGTAGAAGTTCACTAGTATATCAGAAGCATATACTGCCACTGTCTTCAGGATTTAAGAGTAAGCCGGGCAAGATGCAAGGAAGCAGTAAGGTTGCTTGATTGATATGACCCTGAAGATGGAGGCTGTAACAACAGCAATGCTCTGTAATATAATTTTAATTGTGTGCTATAAAAGAATTCTGACTTGGATAACATTTTGTCCTGTGATATCTGTTCATGTACTCATCATGATGCTCTTTGAACTGAATTGCATTCTCTTCTTTGTGTAATGTGATAAGCTATTGATGACTACAAGTGTGTTCAGAATGAAAATAGGCTGTAAGAGTTCAGTGTGGAACTCATTGTCCTCCTTACTTCACATTTTAAAGGTTGAAAACATTAAATAATGACCTAAGAGTTGCACTGAATTTGGATACTCCCTTTTCTGGAATTTTCAACTTTTTGGGGTACTGACCAGTAAAGCCTTACAAGCATATTGAGGTTCAGATTATAATTCTGCTTGAAAATTCTTTGTAAATTGTGATAAATGGATAAAAAACAAGCACTTGTACACACACAAATGCACACATACACACACATGTGCAAATCTCTTGTGTATGCATTTAAGAATATGCAAAAATTTTCTGAATGCTGGAGTAGGACCCAAAATGAAAATCAAAATACCTTGTGCCAGAAGTTTGCTAGTTTTTATTAATGACAGGATAGTTGAAACATCTGCATATAAGTAAATCATGTCTGTTTTTAAATATTAATTCCTTTATAATATTTCTATAATACTTATGGTTAATGTGTGCTGTTTACATTATGTGGTGCGTTGTGCTGCATGGCTCATTTAAGGTTGCTAGCTTACTGTCCCCCATTCTGGGGCAGTAAGCTATAAACCTTAAATGAAATAGCTTACTGTAGTAATTATTTTTGGTTCTTGCTGGTGAAACATTATTGGCTCTAAGAGCTGGTAATGGATTTAATTTAGTATGTCAGATTTGAGGTTTTCACGGCGGTGACTATGAAGAAAGCAGTCTTCTGGGATGTGGCACCGTGTAGATGTGGTGTTAACCGACGTTTCGGATGGAGGAGGATGGAGGTGATACATTCCTCCGAAACGTCGGTTAACACCACATCTACACGGTGCCACATCCCAGAAGACTGCTTTCTTCGATTTAATTTAGTGTTTACAAAATGACAAAATTGCAAAACTGGCTGTCAGGTGCTCTTATTAGAAGTTGAGCAGTGCAATGCTTTAAAACAGTACATGTACACAACACTTTTCCACTACTTCTTATGTAATAGTATATTTCTTGATGATTATGAGGTATTTTGTTTTTCAGTTCAGAGGGCCAGAGGCTTGCTGACAAAGGGAAAGCATGGTGAGCTTTATGTTCATAACGAATAACTATTTAATGAATAAGTGTATGCCGTATATGTCAGACTCCTGTGTGTAATTTGGCTATAGCTGTAGCAGTTGGTCTAATCTGCACATGAAAGTATTCAGAAGGAGAAGTGATGTCACATGAGTTGATACCATAGCTTTGAAAGAGGGACAGGAACAGAGAAAGGAAGAAAGATTAGGAGGAACTCCAATGCAGATCTAATCTTTGTTATGCATCAAGTGTCATTATTCATAGTTTAAACAGGGAAAGGGTTCAGAAAGTAAATGAATCAGATTAATTTAAGAAGGAAGTACGGTGTTAGTTGCTGATGACAGGAATGTTGTTTACACTGAAGTGTTGATACACTGTTACCTCTCAGTGACTGGTGTCATGTTAAATTTTAATAGTGCTGTAGTGTCAGTAGTTTTATTGTGGGGTGGGACTGAGTCCCTTGTACTGCGGCCACTTCTGGCCTATTGTACCTGCCCCAGATGATAGGTGAGGGTGGTTGTGGAGCAATTGCTGGAATGAAGATTGGCAGGAGAAACCGAAGTACTCGGAGAAAACCTGCCCCAGCGCCACTTTGTCCACCACAAATCCCACTTGACCAGACCCGGGATCGAACCTGGGCCACCGTGGTGGGAAGCCAGCAACTAACAGGTAAGAAGTCACTCTTCTTGAATGACAGTTTTCATAGTCAGCATCTGACAGAATGTAAGCCGCAGAAGTGAACTGATTGGCAAGATGCGTCAGTATTTAGTTTAGTGTTTATGTTTCTTGTGTTGGTAGGTAATGTGACTAAAAAGTAGTGCCTTTTTTAAATCACTTTGATACATTTATTACTATTAGAAAGTGAAATAAATTTAATGAAGCACATTAAAATTCCATACATGTGAGGGGAATTATTTTGTTAATGTTTTTTTCTTTTTGATATTTTGTGAAGCTTTTGGAAGTCTAGGGATGCTGGAAGGAAGTTGAAAGTTTTTGCTCTCATAAGTTTGCAATTTTAATACAGATTGTTGGGAAAACAATATTTTGTAATAGGCTGTCATTTATTCTTTGATTAACTACATGANTTGTTGCACTTAAGACGGTATTTATCCATATATATTGTGTGAGTGTAACAGGATGCTGAAATAAAAAATTNTTGGTTGGTTGGTTGGTTGGTTGATTAGTGAAGTAATTCCATTGCATTTGATGGAACCCGAAGGTTCTTTACCATGTTCACAAGACAGTCCCGTTCTGAGCCAAATGAATTCTGTGTCTTTAAATGATGTTTTAATATTATCTTCTCATCTGTGCCAAGATCTTCCAAGTCAACTCTTTCCTTCAGGTTTTCTAACCAAAACTTTATATGCATTTTATTTCTCCCCCATATTCAACATGCCTGTCCACCTCATCATCCTAATAATGCTGTATGATTGATTCTTGGGCTTCGAGGCTCCGTAGATTGTGTGGCATTGATAGGATGGTTGGAAAGGGTAAAGAAGGCAGTAGTCGTGATCTGTTTTAAGGTATTCTCCTAGCATATATTGGAGGGGGAGAGGAAAACATAAGAAACCTCAGTCAGAATAGCTAACCTCAGGCCCAGAATTTGAACTGATGACCTCCCAAATTAAAGCTGGGATGCTATCCATGAAACTGAATCTTCCTTGCAGTATCTTGTGAAGTGATTTGATTATAATTTTAGTATTGTTTTTTAATTAACTTTTGTCATGATGTCTTCTTGTGAAGATGGAGTCAGTATCCAGTGTTTTGCATACTTTCTCTGTCTCCTTCATCAGGGGTTTATGTGATGAGTGATATGTCTGCACATTGTATTTATACCTACAGAGCATGTTCTCGACTGTCATGGACACTTGATAATGGGGAGAGAGAGAGTTTGCGAAATGTTAGATACTAACTTCATCTTTGCAAGGCTCATTGCCAGAGTATAGTTCATTGCCTGTTGTCTCTGTAAAGGCCTCAAATCATCTATAATTTTTTGTTGTTGTGTATAGGAACAAATGATGCATTTGTAACTATAGCTTTGGCAAAGGAGAAATATCAAACTTCAGTGAAAGAAAAAGCACTGCAGGATGTGGAATGGCATGAAGAATGTGAGCTGTGAGTAACAGTAATAAAGTTTCATGTTTTTATTTAAGCACCCAGTTGCTTAGGCCTGTGTGTTAAGAAGTTAAATTTATCGTTGGTTTTATTGTAGATACATGTTCGAAATTCCTGTAAAACAGTAGCATATTTAACACATTCATTGCCTTAGGAATGTAGATGTTCTGAAACCATTTGTGCAAGATGAAGCAAATAATTTCATTTTTATACCACACTATTCGTATTAAGTGTATTTTTGTTATTTTTCCACAGTGTGTTATCCGTATGTTTCTTTGTACTTCGTTGTGGTGCAAATAATGGTCAGTTGTTACATTTCTGATGGTTGCATAATGAAACATCATGAATATGTATGCTTCTGTACGTTGATTCACTTTTATTCAGTAAATTTATGTTAACATCCATGTATTTATCATCCGTCAATATTGCAACACTTGTTTATTCACTACTTAGTTTTAATTTTAGTGTAACATTATACACTTTGACGCTACATGTTTCAGCCCCAAACGGCCATCTTCAGGTGTCTTGAAATGTTACAAATATTTTACTAAATTATGTTAAAACTACTACACTGTCTCAGTCCGTGTTAAAATCACACGCTGTAGTCCTCTTTTCAAGGCAAAACCAGATAAAATCCTTTAAAGTTTCTATTATACCCCCGTTATTTTGGTGCATTTTATTTCACAACACTAGTAAAGACATCACATGCTGTGGAGGAACCAGGGGCATATGGCAGTCATATCTGAAAAGTAGGCTACGAACGTGAGGGGCAAGCTGCTGAAACGAAAACACCCTGGACAGACACACATTCATGAACAATTCTGAGGCGTCTGTTTGACAGATTGGTATATTTTACAGTGACGTGGTCATTCAAAATATTGGCCCTGATGATGGAGGTGGTCTCTGAAATGTTGGATTTAAACTCAACATTGACCCAGTTCATCACCTGAGAAGGCTTTAGTACATTTATTCACCTTCAAAGCTTTCAAGGCTTCCATATGTTTATTCCCTTTTTATGTAGCATTTTCAAGTGTTGATCGTCAGACACTGTCGTGAACTTGAAAAGTATATGTAAATAACATGTGATATAGTGTGCGCTGTGTGTATCTCAGCTAGAGAATGTAATCAGTTGGATGTGATTAAGTTGGTTGGTCTAGATATCAATGCAGAGAAAACTAAGTAAGTTTTCGCACATTCCCAACAGAATTCAGGACAAGATCACATAATGAAGACAGCTAATAATTCTTTAAAAAATGTTACAGAATTCTCTGTTGTGGAATGGCAGTAAGAAATCAAAATTAGAATGATGGATAACTTAATAGCAAATTAATTTTTTGCACTTCTTTGCTGCCATTCAGTTTAGAATTTTGAATCTTCCCATCTACTGTTTAAGAACCTAAAAATTATATAAAACTGAAAGTTTAATTTCTGTCTTATATGGGGCAAAACTTAAATTTTTGTCTTGAGGATGGGCTGTAGATTGGTAGCATTGTGGTCTTCAGAGTTGTGAGACCATGTGTTCTTAAGTTCTGCATGGTGTTTTCAAGGTAATGTACTTCATCCCCCTCAGAGAGTTGTATGGGTTGCTGTTAGTTTGATACTCGATTGTTAAAGTGTATCTTTTCTTGAATTTCAGGCAAATTCCAAAACAGGGTAATGTTGCTGAAATTATACTTACAGTTCTGCATCGTAATTTTATTGGAGTCGATGAATTTTTGGGAGTTGTCAATATTCCCTTAGCTGATTTTGATGTGTATGAAAGACCTAGAAACAGGTAAATATTTTTTTTCTATAGTATTGCTGCAATTATTTGAATCTTTATAAAATATTTTATTGTGTAAAAGAGATGTTTTATACTTTCACCTCATAGCACAGCCAGTGTTATACATAAATATGAAATAGTACAGGGTGACTCAAAATTCTATGGCTGAATTTTAGGAGATGAATGAATGAATGAATGTATAGGGGTAAGCCTTCTCGGCCCTTGCACCGCAACCTACAGTGGCCTATTGTGTTTAATTTTAGGAGATAGTTGGAGAGATAATTGGAGCAGAAATGTAAATTCTTCAATTCATCATCCTTGTTGGACTTTGATAGTGTGCCACTTTTTATGATAAATAAATGATTGGTGAATACATTCAGTTATTTATGCTTAGGGCCTTTATTTTAATTACAGTGGATGAAAATAAAAGATTAGCTCTTCTGAAATTGAATTTCACATTACGTTTAAGACAAATTTCTGATCAAGTAGTGAGGGCTTGCACAAAAATCCACCATAATTCTTCACAAGAACCGCTCGAAGTTAATCCTCCACCTTACACTTATGCTTCACACCGACATCAAATGAAGTCCCTGACGTGGATGGGTTGTCTAGTCATTGTTTCACAACTTTTTTTCACCTGTGCCACATTCTAATTTGTCAAGGACACATGATGGCACACCACAAAGTAACTTAAAATTCAAATCATAATTTGCAGCTGATTCAGAAGATAGATCAGTGAGTATGAGAAATTATACACCTGAAATTCAAGTTCGTTTTATCTCTATATAGTGAGAGATTTGTTTCAGGTGGTATGAATTAAAAAGTAAACCGGGGAAGGAAAAAAACAAATCACGGGGTGAACTGGAGGTGCGTGTTTCCTTCCTTGTGAAAGCTGGCAGTCTGACGGACCTTAGCAAGAAACACCGGTCATCTCTGGGGCAGCTGTCACAGATGGCACAGTCTGTGGGTATGTACCCATTAGATTTATCTGTAGCTCTTACATAATTATTGACTTTGTTAGTATATTTATCTTTTTCCTGGAATACAGTTTTGTAGTTTCTGATTTTTTTAAATAGTTCAACGATTTCAAATTAATATTGTTATTGTAGGAGGGAGAGTGATTCATGTATTTGTTTTTTTTTTTTTTTTGAGATTAATTTTTTAATTTACTGATGAACACATAGGAAGACCTTGAATGAATGAATGTATGAAGGGCAGGCCTCCTCGGCCCTTGCACTGCGACCTACATTGGTCTATTGTGCTAGGAAGACCTTACTGCACCAAGGAAAGCAAGAAAGATATACACCAGACTGAAATACAGAGAAATTGACAAAGGTGTTGTGTACAAATGTGAATAGTGTGTCTATGAATATTCTATATTGGAAACATAGATCTAATTGCATTCTTTGATGGCATAAAATTGTTTTTGATTATAATGCAGTGGCAACAGAATATTCTTTTCTTATTCTTCTTAGTCTCTGTAAATCCTGCAGTTTCGAAATCGCTGCCTCAGAACTCCTAATGTGTTTTTAAGGTAAATGTTAAAGTTTGGTGTTATGGTGTTGCTATATTCATGAGGGCTGGTATATCATGTAAGGAAGAGGGCAGGCAGGCAAATACTGTGACTCTTGTCTACTTGCTTTCTGTCACCAGTGCAACTATGGGTCCCCAAGAGAATAAGGCAGAAAATCTACAATGACCTAACAAGTTTCATATGTTACAATCTGAGATTTTGTAAATTCAGTATTTTTATTTTGTTAAGTTGATTGTCAGTAATGTTCCAAGGAAATTGTTTTACTTGTCCAAATTCATATTTTCATGAATTAATTTCCATACTAATGGAGTGATACACCGTATGTGTATTTATGGAACAGAGTGTAAAGCTGAACTATCAAATAAGGAGAACATTTATCCTATCTTTGGTAATTGTTATTTTTGTTATTACGGTTTGTGTTGTCTTTGTCTTGTCCTTGTTTCGTGTTTGTCTTATCTTTTGTTGTTATTCCATGTTGGTCACTTTAATAGGTAAAGCAAGTGTCACGTACAAACAACTGGCTGCCTGTCATTTCTCATGCCCTCGAACTCGCCCCCTTCTCTGAAATTTTCCTTCTGCGCCTTCAAGGTTACTCTTGGCCTTGTTCGAAGTTACGTGACACATGCTTTACAATTGTACCCACCCATTACATTGTCTCAGGTCTGTCTTTTTTAATATATTTTGTGTATAGCTGGCTTTCTGAGTGGAAGTGTAATATCATTGAGAGAGCGTGATTAACAGTCCAGTAAATAAAGCATTTGAAGATACTGTTACTTCTGTAAGTGCTTCTTGTTTCTATACCTGGTATCTGATTCTCAGAGTTTTGTGTTGCAGTATCTTATTGAATGTAAAGAAGGAAAACAATATGGCTGACTTCACATGATTAAATTTGGTAATTCTGCAACTGGCGGTTGTTTGCATCATCTTGCAGTATTAATGTACATACATAATGATTCAGGTCACATATCTCTGTAACTTTACATTCGATATCACATTTTATTGTATTTTCAGAATATATATGTAGGTTATCCTGAAAGTAAGTTCCGATGGGCTATTGAAAAAGAAACGAATTTATTTCCAAATTGTTTATATTGCCATTTGTTGTACATACCGTACACTACTTTTCAACATAGTTTCTACCATTGTTGAGGCACTTCTCATAGCGGGGCACCAGTTTTTGTATCGCTGTGATGCAGACCACACCTTAACAGCTTCTTTGACCTTGTTAGCATCATGGAACCACTGGCCACCAAGGAAAGTTTTCAGATGCAGGAACACATGAAAATCACTTGGCGCTAAGTCTGGGCTGTAAGGGGTGTGATTGAATTGTCCCGGACAAATATTGTGATGAGCTCTTGCATTGCAGTGGCAGTGTGTGGGTGGGCATTGTCATGAAGCATTGCAAGACCCCTACTAAGTATGCCATGTCACTTGATCTGGATCGCACAACGCAGTTAAGATCTTAAGTGGGTTGCAGTAGACACCTGCAGTGAATGTTCAGCCTTGAGGCAAGAATTCCACAAACAGAACACTTTTTCTGCCCCAAAACACTAGGCACATGATCTTGCAAGTTGAAATGGTCTGTTTGAATTTTTTCTTTGTTGGCGATGATGTGTGCCTCCATTCCATGGACTGCTGCTTCGATTAAGGGATTATGTGCAACACCCATGTCTCGTCCCCTGTGACTGTGCGGCTGAAGAAGTCGTCGCCTTGTTCACTGTATTGTGTCAGAAAGTTCAACACACTGGCCTGCTATTTCATTTTGTGTTCATCTATAAGCATCTTCGGCACCCAGCGTGAACACAATTTCATGAAGAAATGACTGAAATTTGTGTAAAATGCAAGGAAAGTGACGAAATTGGAATCGTCTGTTATCTTGAATCTTTTCTTCCACTGCACGCACCATATCCTCATTAACCACAGATGGTCAGCTGCTCTGCAGATCATCATGCACATTTCCGCATCATTAATTAAAGTTTCTCACCCATCTCCTTACCATTGAATCACTCATGCCATTTTCTCCATATGCCTCACAAAGTTGACGATGAATGTCAGCTTGTTTCACGTTTCTTGCATTCAAGAAAAGGATTACAGTCCGCATTTCACATGCGTCAGGCTTCTCAATTTTCTTCAACATTGTAAACACACAGGACGATTTATAAATGCGGTTCGATTATCCGCAGATGGCATCCGTGCCTCCTGAAAGGACCAATAAACCCTGCATGCATGCGTGCCATAGTGACCGCAGTGCTGCAGTGGCAATATTTGCAAACGGAACTTATTTTGTGGATACACCTCTTATCATAAAAGTGAATAATTAGAGAAATAAGTAATTGTTCCCATGTATTCATCCATGAAATTAATTAGTTATAATATTGCAGGTGGAAGTCTGCTAAGTCTTGGCACTATAGAGAAAAGAAAAGGAATAAAGAAGCTGGCAGAGTCACTGGGTTAGTACTGTTGAAAACAGATGTTTAGTGTTACAAGAATTGGTGATAATTTACCCTGTTTTTGTGTTTGTTTCGTTGTTGTAATGTGTTTGTCATATATGTTAATTGTAAATGCTATATGTATGTATGTCATATTGACTGTATATTTCTTCTGAAAAAGTGAGAAAAAGTAAGAAAAACGATGTGGACATTGCTGCAAACCACGGATTTCGAACATCATACCCAATGTCTTCCCAAATACCGGGGGATGCTGATCCTGGGGTGATAAGTGAGGGTGACAGTGAAGATGACTTTACAGTGAGTATGAGCGGTTTGCTTATTCAGGTAGGAATATCTAAAATGAAGTAAGAAATAGAAGTCTCATCAAAGACAAATTTCCAAAGCATATAGGTAACTTCATACACATAGAGTACAATTCGTATTGAGAATCTGATTTTTACTCAGCTTGTCAAGACATTCTGTCTTCTTGGAAATCCAGGGGTTCCTCTCTGTGTTCACAAGCGCCAACCACTGGTTCCTGTTCTGAGTCGTATGAATTGAGTTTGTGGGAACCAATGGGCGGCACTGTAACAGCAACATGCCTTCGGCATGAAAGTCCCAGTCATGGCTAGGAAACATTCACTGTTATGCAATGGCTCAGTAATTAGGTATCCAGAAAACAGATCAGCACATCACAGTAACAGAACTATAGAAACCAATGAGCTGTCAGCGGTCAGTCCTGAGCTACTTAACATGGACCAATCAAGAAGACATAATATATAAATATATAGAAACAGAGAAATTTCCATCATCCATAGCGCTACTATGCAAGGCCCAACAGACTGAAGCTCATTCGTATGTCCATTACAGCAACAGTAAATATTTGTGTAGAAGTTTAATACGTTGTTGTCTCACCAAACATCAACAGTCCCACAAGTTGATACCCTCACAGCGTATTCATTTAAGATCCATTTTAATATTTAAAGTTATGCTCTAATAGTACCTCTGTCCTCCATAATAGTATTAGATGAGTACAAATTATGAAACTTCTTGTTATATAGTTGTGTCCTTTGCACCCAAAATAAATGCGTAACACAACTGTTATTTCTTCAAATGTCAGAAGACTGTTGCAAGGTTGAGGTCCTGAAAGAACTTGAAACAAACCAAATATTATCAGTATTATGTCTGGTACACATCAGATTGTTACTAAATTAAACTTAACATGTTGTGTGCCACAGCTGCAAAAAAAAATTGCCTTACTGCCCCAGAGATCACTGGTGGCCAGACGCTGTGTACTCATATGTGGCTGCATTCCAGTGACATGTGACCAACAGCTGAACACGTGTTGTACGTTTATGTGTCCCCTATGGACTGTACACATCTTCTGATATTTCATATTTGAGCAAAAATGAATAAACACCATAAAAGTTATGTCCTCCTTTCACGGGTGTTTTCTTCAACCTGCAGGAGGTTCAGCAACCCTTTGACAATTTCTTCTCTGAATTTTGTAATTAAAGTACCTTTTTTCCTTTTTCTTTTGTATGAAGGAAGTGTGCATTGACCACTGCTGTGCCTATGACTACTTCACTACTATTTTCCTCTACACTTTGACTGACTATTGAAGTCTTGTTGAATAACCAGACCCCTGATCTGGGCAACCAACTAAAGATTTGCTGGAATTATAGTCAACAGCAGCTTGTAGTCTGATTACTGTTCAGCTGTGCCTGGTGACTGGGACTGTTTCAGTTGAATGGCAAGTGCTGAGGAGTGTGACATCTCTTTTGTCATAATTCCTCTTCTGTTTTCCATTGATACTAGTTCACACTTTTCCAATTTTTCATTGGTAGCCTTTACTGTTTGTGTGTAGTATGCCAAGATGATGTGTATCACAATCATGAAGTTTGTTGGCAAGTTCCACGCTTGTGTAATAGATGTCAGCCATGACCGTTGTCCTTTGACAGTCCGAAAGGTCCAGTACCATATTTACAGAAACAGATGATACAAATCTGCCTTCCTGCCAGCATATATGCTCAGATTCCATGTGTATCCATGTCAGTGTAAAGTTTGAATACCTTAATGCCATATTTGTCTACTTTAGAGGAATGTGGTGTTTTATCAGTAATTGTCCTGAGGAGAGAATTATTCCAGGGCTGAGCATTCCATGAAATTTTGATATGTACATGTGCAGTAGTGGCTGAATTTTTGTACAACCTGTCAGTTGATGATTAGTCTTCATTATTGGAAGAGTGCCACATTCATAACAGAAGTTCAAACCGGTTTTTACTCGTAACATTTGAAGCCATTTAGCTTTTAAGGCGCGTCCACATTACTCATGCTTATGCTCGTGGTTGCCAGGCTTGTGATCGTCAAGAGGCATGTCTGGCTTTTACTTGTGCTCATAAATCTTCATCCACACTACTTCAGTTGCTCGCCAGGCTTCGGTGCGTGAGGATCCATATATTTACTCGTAGTGTGTATAGGCTGTAGTCGTATTTTAATTTATTGGCTGTAGTTTTTAAATTAAAAATTTGCTTGTCTCGTGACTTGTCGTATCGTCCATGTTACTCGCGAGGATAGCGAGTCACACGAGCACAAGTAATGTGGACACACCTTTATACAAGAAGCTCTTGCTCCAGTAATCTGCAGTAGAAGGGAACTGCACCAAGCCCTTACATGCAAGGAGTCCTACGTATTTTATTATCTCATTTGTTGTAGTTGCTTGCCATGAACTTAGTTCAGATGTGTTGTCTGACCCATCTAGACACTTCTGAGTGGCATAGATGTTGGTTTGATCTACCATTTTATTTATTTTAGAATCATATATAATAACAGAATAGAAGTTATACGATGTTCCATCAGCTAATAGAGCTGGGGCTGGTTACCATTGGGCATAGCCCAAACATCCATCAAGGCGATTTCAGTTGGCTGTTGTGCTTCATTATTTACATCTTGTAATGACTGAGCTGCCCTCTTTGGTACACGTGATGTACTTGGTTTCCTGCTTGCTGTAGAATGTGCACGTTTATTTCTTCTTTTATCCTCTGGAGACCAATCATTTGAACACTGGTGCCATTTTAGTCACATTCATCTTTACTTCGCTAGTGAGGCATGGGGATAGTGGCCATGAAGTGGCGCATGCGAGTCCATGGGAGTTCTTTCTGAAGTATGGTACTAATGCAAGCTGGATGGAATGGTTTCAGCTGGATGACCTGTCACACAAGAGTTCAGGTAGTTCACTCAATGCCAGTCAGCCTCCTGTTACCCCTGTAATTGGGTCCCTGGAGAACCTGGCAGGAGGTGAATTTCTGCGGCGTACCTCGACATTACAGATCCCCCGTAGTTCTGGTGGATCAACGCAAGCAAGGCCCTCAGATGAATGGGAGCAGAAACTGTATGGGAAGCAAGGAAAGGGTGAGGCTCAGTTAAACTTGTTAGAATTGTGTGCAGTTCATTGGTCTCATGGGACATGAATTATTTAATGCTGTGTATTGGGCGAAACTGAAGAAAATGAAGTATTACACAGTAATTTTGTTCTCATAATATTTGTTGTTCATTGCATAAGTGTTACACTTCTGTACAGAAATTATGTAAATGGTTACTTTGATTAGGATTATGTTCATCAGGAATGCGATGTTTAATTTGAAGCTAGGAGCCTTCTGCCTTCTTCATCCGGGCAGCAGATCGATGCAGCAGGTACCTCCAGAACAATACCTGTTTACTTTATTACATGTATCACATTCCAGAAAGGGTACACAGTAGAGTAGTTGGTTGAGGAACAATCCTACACGTTGGAAGGTAGTGGGTTCAAGTCCTGATTAGGTGGATTTTTTCAGTTCTCCTAATCCTTCAAGCGACACTGTGGCCCTAGGGTTGACTCAGCCTCTAACAGAAATGAGTACCAGGAATCTTCCTGGGGAGTAAAGGTCGGCCAGTGCGTAAGGCTGACAACCTTACCGCCATCTGTGTGCCGATTGTGTAGAAAATGTGGGAGCCTCATCTCTCATAACCCTATGGGCCTCTGCGGCCTGTTACAGGGATAGTTTTACCTTTTTTTATCACATCACAGAAGACTATACCCCTATTATTTATTGCTTTGATAATCTGGAATCTTATAAATGTTTATTCTTTGTCTGAGCTTAATACTAAGAAACGTATTTGCTGCTTTATGATCTTGTATATGGGTCTTGAAGAGGAGGTAGACAAAAAGATAGTATTCTGCTTAACAAAAAACTTCATAACTGTTGAGGTGTGGTGAGAGTCAAGATGGCATTTCTCTGACATCTCGCTAGCACACAGTTGGACAAAGAGCAAGTTATAGTGGCAAGTGACCACTTTAATTATGCTCACATATCTTAACTTTCGTGGGAATCCATATTTCTGCACCCAAGCTTGTCTGCATCACGCAGATGTTTCATCACGTTTGCATGATAATAGTACATACTTTTCAACCATGCCAAACCATTTGTTCATGAAGAATTTGAAATTTGGACTGTTTTTGTAGCCCTAGTTTTTGTACGGTATCCATTAGTTTTGGATGTTGTGAATAGATGTGCATTTCCCTTGCATACAGATGCACTTTCCATCGGTACGGAGATCCCAAAACGACGTTCGTGGGAGAGCTCTAAGACTGTTTTGAGCAGTCAGCCAGAAGAAGATGAGGCTGATGAAAATATTAAAGCTAATAAATTTTCCATATCTGGGCAATCTGACTCTTGTTTGGATCATCCAACACCAGCTGCGGGTGTACCGCAGGTGGCAGCTCATAGAGGACAGGAGAAAGTAAAAGAAGGATCAAGATTAGTCAGAAAACTGAAACAGTTTCGAAAAGGTAAACATTTTGTTCTGGTATATACAGTATGTATACACCTTGTGCATGGTGTTCAGTTGGAAATGTGTGGATTGTGATAGTGCGTGGATAGATTACAGTGTGACCGTAGAAGAAACAATGCAGTGCTTTCCCGTGCATTGAATGCTCACTCTCTGACTGCTTTTACTGATCACTGTACAAAGTTCAAACACACTTAACATATTTTATGAACAGAACTGTTAGGCTTATTTTGGACTCTATCCATTGCCTGGTATATAGAAGACAATACCAAAACGTTTCGGGAACTGGATCTGTCTCCATCCTCAGGTGAATGGGGCAAGATAGACCTACTCAGTTGGGCCTGTTAGAAAGAGCTAATCTCAATCACTGGACCAGTGATCCAGTCTCCGAAACATGGTTTTTGTCTTCTATACACCAGACGATGAATACAGTCCAAAATAATCATAATAGTTCTGTACAGCATACACCATCGTCAGAATCCTTTCAAGTGTATATTTTATGAAATCTATTAGAATTGACTGCTTTTGCCTTCAAGTGTTTAACACAGGACATAAACAAGTTTTGTGACACATTTTTAGTTCTGAAGCTAATAATTTGACATATTTATACAGCACACCACATTAATACTTTTACACCATATAATAGTGCTTAATGACCAGGGATCTTCTTCACTTCATATTCATTAGATACACTCAAGCCTCAAATATTTGAGCTTGAATTGAGAAAAAAAAATCTGTTTTCATTCAGATGTCAATTTTTCGTTCTTGAACTTCAAGAAATTTCTGCTTTTGCTTTACACATTAGGGTCTAGTGTCAGAAGGGATCAATATATTTTCTGATAAATGCAATTGGTGGAATGAAGATTGGCAGGGGAAACCGAATGAGTCGGAGAAAACCTGCCCCAGCGTCACTTTGTCCACCACAAATCCCACTTGACCAGATCCAGGATCGAACCCGGGCCATCGCGGTGGGAAGCCAGTGACTAACCACTTGAACTATGGCGCGGCCTATCTTCCTGTAATGACTTTTTAATCAGTTAGTTAATCAGCATTAACTCAACATGCATATCATGCCAGTGATTCAGTATGAAGACATTCTTTTCTTTTTTTCTTGTTATTATCATGAGTAATATCAGATTAGCATATGTCATAAAAAGGAACTTCATGGTTTATACTGCTCAGCTGTTAAAAGTCTAGGAAGCTACACTGAGAAAGCATGTAATGCATGCAGAATTTTCATGGGGAGAACTAGCTTAGGAACATCTCCAATGGCAGTCTTTGGTGTTTGTGGTGTTGAGCCATTATGAGCTGTTTCTGGAATGTCAGTTAATTAGGAATGATAATCAATGTTGGTTTTAGTGAATTCATCTGTAATTAGTTTCAAGGTCTGCCAGGCTTTATCATTTTGAGCTGTGAGTGTACAGACATGTCCTTGATTATATTATTGAAAATTTTACTTTAAATGAAGTCAAGAAAGAGAGGAAATGATGAAAATTAGAGAGTTGGGAGTAAAAGATGCAAAATATGATAGATACAATCATGGAGGTAGAAATAGTGTTCATGCAAGACTAGAAACCATACATGAATTATGAAATGATAGGAAGAGAGCTGAGGAAGAAAAATGTTTACTATTGAATAATGCATACCATGATGATATACAGTAACCCTTTCCTTGCCAGTGAATTCATATGTGCACTGGGGGCAGACCCTGGTAGGTCTGCCGATGGTTAGATGCTAGTTTTCTGTGTTGAATTCATAAATGCATGCTAAAAGATGTTTCTGCAGTGTAGAATAGTTGATTCTCAACACTTTGCTTTTCATAATGATGTCTCTTGTAAATTTTAGATTATTATGAAACAAGTAGATTTTAAAGGGTTCTGACGACGGTGAATAATGCTCAGAACTGCTGACAAAGCCTGGTCCCAGGTATTTGTATGGCTCTAGTTATATTGGCATGGCTTGTCCTGCCAGAGTAGGTGTCTCCCCCCTCACCTGAGGATGGAAACAGATCCAGTTTGCAAAATGTGTTCTATAGTTTTTAGATTACTGGATGATGTACAAAGCCCAGAACCCAGTAATTCTGTGTATTAAAAAGCAGCTTTGCAATGATAACAAGGATTTTATTTGTGTACAGAGAGCAAGATACCAGACAGTAAGAGTGCAGTGACTCAGAGGTTTGTCATTGGAGGTGAAGATAATAGCATTGCCTCAGCAGCCAATAGACTTTCACCAGAAATGGTCCAGAAGTTTGATGGAAAATCAAAAGAGGTAAACATGACCTACATTGGGACAACTGTTATGTTCCGTGAGTCTTTTATTTCTCGTTCGAGTTGACGGCCGTCTGTAGTGTACTTGTATCACACTTATTGTGAATCTAAGATAGGACTAGTTATTGTGCCTCAAATTCTTGTGATTTTACACCATAATTTCAAGGAAATTGCAAGAAACATAAACTGCTTCATCTGTGGGTGCTCTTGAGATAAATCTGAACCCAGAGATGGGCTTATGTGTCTCTTGAGTTTTTCATGGTTCTTCTCAGCCCTTCCAGGCAAAAGCTGGAATAATACCTCAAATTAGGCCATGAGCACTTCTTTCCAAATTCTTTGCAGCTCCATGATTCAGTAACCATCCTGTCATTGGGTAAATCATAAAAGAAATATCCATCATCATAGTATAAATTTATATATTTCTACTGGAGACCTTCATGTGCAAACTTAAAGCTCAGATATATTATATTGATATATGAATGTATTGTTGTATTGAGTATTTAAATTTTGATGATGACGTCTGTCTGATTATTTATGTATATTTATATGTTATATTGTATTAGTGACTTGTTCTATATCTGAGGCAGATGCCTCTATGGATTTTTTGGAACTATAAATAAATGACAATGACATCAACTTTATACCAGGTCTTCACAAACTGAGTAAATTATCCAACTGTGAATGCAGTACACAGAGCATGTGTATTCTGTGACCTGTAGCAGCTTGTTCCATGGGCACGTGTGCCTGATGTTGCCTCAGTGACAGATGAATTGGAGTGATGACGTGTTATTTACAGCTTTCCTGGTTAATGTTCTGGATTTAGCAGAATATAAACATCAGTTAATTGTTGAATTCCTCACAAAGGAAGACAAAATTTTCAGAAAGAGATATTTTTGTATGTTGACTGCTTATGGTAAATCTTTATTGTTTTATCGCCAAATAAAATTCTGAAGCAAACAACAGAAAGAGGAAATTATGTCAGTCAGAAATCATGGAAGTCTGGATGCTGTTGAATCAAGAAGCAGTGTCGATGCCAGCACATTGAAATGCTATTCGCGAGGACAATCAGAGATGCCACAGGCATGTGCCTCCAGAAAAGAAGAAATTGTGATATGCCTGTAGGTTACTCCCGACAAGTAGCTTCAAGGATGGAGCAGTGTGACATAATTGAACAGTTTAACTGGAGAAGTTGTCCGTTGCTAGGTAATATCTTTATAAACAAGCAAGCCATCACGAGGCTATGGCTCACTCACACATCACAGAACAACACAGGAGCTGTTGGAGCCAGTGTTTTCTTTGTGGTCTGACATGAGGGTATATAACGACCAACAGAACAAGACAGTCAGCTGAGAGTCAACAGTGCAGGATTGGTTGTGGGATGGTAGAGAGCTGGCAGCGACATTAGTGGAAGACATTGTTGGGATTTTCTACCAAGCAATGACTAGTGAAGATTATAAAAGACTAAGACAGTCTGTGCTATAGTGATTTGTTAAGTGTGTAGATTAGTGGTAGTGTTATAATTATTTGTAGTTATAAATTATGCGTGTTTAGTAAATCCAGTTGCCAATCCAAACTCCATGTCTGGTTACTAACTGTGACAATACATTGTTTATATTGCACTTTGTCTGGTACCTCCCCCCCCCCCAAAGTCACTAAATAAGCATTTGAAGAGTCCTATAGATTATAATGCATTGTAGTCTGTTGAAAGTCAAGTGATATTTCAGAAGAACATGTTGCCTCCATCCTCAGAGTTGAAAACAAACTGAAGAAGAAGTCAGCAGTCATCATGTAGTGGGTGGGTTATTCTGCAAGTCGGGTGGAGGTGAAATGTTCCTTTGAAGTGTTGTTTGACTTTCAGTGGGCTACACATCTCTATATCCAAGAAGATGGCCACTGCTGTGAGAACTTCACATCATGCAAATCAGGATTTCACTGTACTTCCTTTGTTTTGTGTTTCCAAAGGACTTAATTCGGATTATATGCAGTCTTCAAGTTTCAATGGAAAATCAGACCAAGAAGCTGAAAGATCTGGAGGACTATTTGGACAATCTTCTGCTTCGGGTTATGGAGACTACACCCCGCATCCTTCAGAATCCTTATGTGAGCTGCAAGACACAGGCCAAGTTGAGGTAAGACTGAGACAAGAAGTGGCCATCAGTGTATTTGCTTTCTCATGTGGATGCAGTTAATTGGCAGTAACCTACAGTGGTCTGTTGTGTTTTAACCGGTACTTATGGTGCTGAGCCCTTCTTCAGGAGAAGCCAAATCTGCAGCTACTCAAGAATTTCCCAGCATTTTATGGAACCCGAAGGTTCATTACCGTGTTCACAAGAGCCCTCCACTGATCACAGTCCTGAGCCATACCAATCCCATCCTATCTCTAAGATTCGTTTTAATATTGTCCACACACCTATGCCTTGGTCTTCCCAGTGGTCTCTTTCCTTCTGGCTTTCCCACCAATATCCTATATGCATTCCTCTTCTCCCCCATTCGTGCTACATGCCCTGCCCATCTCATCCCCCTTGACTTGATCATTCTAATTATAGTTGGAGAAGAGTACAAGTTATGAAGCTCCTTATTATGCAGTTTTCTCCAACCTCCTGTCACTTAATTTCTCTTCGGCCCAAATATTCTCCTCAACACCCTGTTCTCAAACACCATCAGTCTATGTTCCTTCCTTAATGTCAGAGACCGAGTTTCACACCCATACAGAACCACAGGAACCAGTATACTTAAAAAATTGTTCAAATTAAAGTTTGTTATGGTGAAACAAGGTAAATATGCAAGTAATCTTGGAGCCGTACAGACATGTCTCACCATATTACTCACACAGACTTTTATAATGAAGCACCTGCCCTAAGGTAAGCTTGTCATCCAAATGAGAACTCATACAAAATTCCAAATGAAAACAGAAACAAATGAGCACAATGTGACCTTACATTCTGTTGTGGTGTACATCTTGTGTAAGGTATTATGGTTTTCTCTTTTAATTTTTATTAATATTTTTATAGCATAATAGGGTTTCCAAAGATTATAGATTAGACTGATGTGTTCCTGATGATTTTATATTTTATTTCAGGAAATATAATTTATAATTTCAGTATTTATGTTATTTTTAGTCATGCAGGAATTTGAATCTGAATTTTATATATATATATGGGAAACAGCAATAAAATTTTTCTTTACAAGTACTGTCAAGGAACATAACTGCTTATACGAGATGAGACTGTCTGTCCTTGCATCACTTTGTGAGTATACTTACAGTGAGACTGTCTGTTCTTGCATCACTTTGTGAGTATACTTACAGTGAGACTGTCTGTCCTTGCATCACTTTGTGAGTATACTTACAGGTTGTCTTTTGTTGTAGCCACTTGTGACTGCTCTCATTTTGGTGAGTATGTGGAAAAGCCAAGTTCTTACGGCTGTCAACCTGATATTTGCATGTTCTTCCTCAAGATATAAATGTATTTTTTAAAGATTAATGGAATTTTTCACTATTTTCCAATAATTCTGTAGGGTTTCACTGTGGAGAAACCCAGTGCTCAATTCATCAATGTTGTTCAATCTCTGTTTTGTTAAAAATGAAGTGAAATGTGCTCCATTGTGATTGAAGTCAGATTATTGTTAATGTGAGATGTATTTAATGATTTTATTGATCAAATTGTTAAACTTAAAAGTACTGCTGAAACAGAATGTTTTGTATGAATTTAACCTGTTTTACACTGTGAATTATATGTGCTGAATAATTATTTTGTAGAGACTTTGTGTTTCTTATTAGCATTAACATATACTGAGTGTTTTCAACATTAAGTGACAAGAAGTAGACTTCACTGTTATTACATTGTGACTCATGATTCTGGTCCAGTTTATGACACTTGACCTGATGATATACGGAAGGTACTACATGGGTTTTACCAACTTCTGTGATAGTGGAATTCCAAAGAGTAGGCTTGTTAACTTGAAATTTTTGCTACTGCTTTGGTTTCACTCAGAAATACATAATTTGATTAACTGTAGTGCCATTAGTTTTAGCTGTTTATGTAGTCTATTTCTGTTCTTTTTTGTTTTAGACTGATAATTTTATCATTCTGTAGTCTTCACTTAAAAAATAAATTAGATGGGGCTAATATGATAAATTACATTAACTCAGAATTGCAAGAGTTGGGGAGTACCTGTACTAAACAAGAGCATACCCTTTACCGCATACACGTGGTCTGTTCACAAAGTTTCGGAACTATTTTTTATAACTTTTTTGGACATGCCTGCAGTGGAATGATCCTTATCGCCTTCAGAGTACTCCCCTCCTGCATTGATGCACCTCTCCCAATGCCATTGCCACTTCTGGAAACCATCCTGGTACACCTTTCTCAGGAGCACACGTAGCTCTGTCTGTAAATTTTCCATCATCTCTTTAATAATCTGAAATTGTTGTTTAAAAGTGGATTTCTGTTTGGGAAATGAGAAGAAGTCTGCTGCAGCCAGGCCAGGTGAGCAGGGCGGCTGAGGAAGCACAGTTGTGTTCGTGTTGACCAAAAAGCGATGAATCAGTAGCGATACATGAGCTGGCGCATTATCATGATGGAGCAACCAGGAGTTGTTTCTTCAAAACTGAGATCTTTTTCTCCTAACATTTTCTCTTAGATGTTCCAGCACTTTGAGATAATACCAGAAATTCACTGTTTACCCCTGATGAAGAATTCGTGATTCACAACACCCTTGATGACTCCACGTTTGACCTGATCCACAGTGACTTTTTTAGTCGTGGAAAATTGTTTCAAACCCACTATGAAGACTGAATTTTCTGTTTCAACATAGTATCCATAAACCCATGTTTCATCGCCAGTTATTCTCAGAAAGTTTTCATCCTCACTATCGCGATCCAAAAGTTCCTGATAGATGGCAGTGTGACCGTCTCTTTGATCCTGTCTCAGAAGTTGTGGGACAAACTTATTTCTAGTTTTGTCATAAGAATGTCATGACATGATCCTGTCAATATCAATATATTGCACTCTTCTGCTATTTCCTGCACTGTCAGAAAACAATTAGAATGCACAATTTCACAAACTTATACAACACAAGCATCATCACATGATGCTGAGGGCTGTCCCAAATGCCCTTCATCGTATGTTGACTGCTAAAAATCCTTAAATCGCTTAAACCATTCATAACAACGTGTATGGCTGATGCAGTGGTTACCATAAACGTTTTTCATCATTTCATGTGTCTCCATAAACGTTTTCCCTAGTTTGAAGCAAAATTTAATGTTAATACTCTGCTCATGAATATGAGCCATCTTGAATAACGCAAGACACTACACACATGTGAACAAATAATTCTAAGGTGATGACTAATCACAGAAGGATGGTGCAACAAAAAGGTTGATAATTAGGAAGCATGCCACTAGCAGCACCACTTACCTGACATTACCAAGATGTCGAGTTAGCACTCTATTTCAAAAGTTCCAAAACTTTTTGAACAGACCATGTATTTACCACTATTAGGCCTCTGTGGTCTAGTGGTCAGCATTCCTGGCTACAGATCCAGATGTCCGGGTTCGATTCCTGGAGCTATCAGATTTTTTCTGAGAAGTAGTGGGTCTGGAACGGGGTGCACTCAGCCTCGTGAGGATAATTGAGAAGCTGTTTCAAGGAAATAGCAGCTCCGGTCTAGAAAACCGAAATTAACAGCCATGGGGATTTGTTGCGCTGACCATGCGACACCCTCTGTCCACAAAAGTTGGCACCAAAACTTTGCCGACAAGCAGCAGTCGCTCAGTTGGTATGGTTCGCTTGCGGACTACAGGCCACGGAGTTTGTTTTTAGGCAACTGTAAGCATTTAGTTGGTAAAGAGGTTGGAAATGAGGTACCTAAGAAATAAGATACTGGCAAACATATGTGTAAGTAGGTCATAAATGTATGAGAACATGTACTGTGCATTGTGTAAGTAGCTGCTGCAATTGAGGTAGGGCGAACATTACTCAATTAAAATTAAGTTTATGTATGACAGATATTACTCTTTTAAACATTAAGTCAATTATCTGTGAAAAATGGATTTCCTCTGAGGATTTACTTGCACATAGAACACAAACAAACCAGTGTGATTGTTTACAGCAGTTGACAACTCTGCTAGGAGGGTGAGTCGGTACAAGCACCACCCGCTAAGTGAGCAGCATGCTAGAGACTTCTACTGCATTTACCCCTGTAATGTCCCCCTTTCTTCCCCCCCCCCCCATTTTAACACTAAAAGTAAGAAAGGGGGGGATATTACACAGATTATTTCTCTAACAGGTTCTTGAGAGTCTGTAATAGAAATGAGGATATATATTTCTCTGTTATTTATACGCTTTATTCTCCACAGTTTATATACTTTCTGAAACTATTGAGCCTTTGAATTACCTGTCTTGCCATCCCATCCCTGTTACCAAATCGCAAGTCAGTGCTGAAAATCATATTTGAAAATGTTTTACCAGTGCCCCTTCCAATTCCTGGTCAAAAGATAAGGAAATCACTCTAAACTTAAATGTAACTTTTACCTTCCTCTGGTAACACAGCTGTTGATCCCTTGACAAGCTTGTTCCATAAGTTAATGCAAACATTAGTAGGTACTGCAGTCAAGGTGGTGACTTGAAATGAGATATTGTGGGATCAGTGATGAAGACTGAACATTGCATCAAGACAAAACATTCAGGAAGAAAAATATGTACACTTCCTTTCCAAAAACAAGGGGTGGACAATACATGAATAAATGCAGTGGTTTGAAGTAACGCGATAGAAGCTGTAAAACCATGGAGGAATATTTGACCAGTACAATAAATACTAGTGTCTAAGGTGAGTGTTGTTCTATGAAACAGTGGATATTACTTTGTTAAATGACCACGCATGTACAAATAAATTTTATTTTGGTTATGTATTGTACTATATTAAATTTGTATTTCTGCTTGTAAATAATGTGCAGTGCAGCGAATATATCCTCAGATAAATATATTTCAGTGAATAGCTGGTGACTACAATGAAGAATAATGTTTAAGAAATTTTGATTCTAATTTTAAATATATTTTAACTAATCAACATTGTGTTCACTTGCGTTATGTAATTTTAACATACAGTGTAACAGTTTTAGCAAGGTAAACATGCACCTGATGAGGCCATGGCTGAAACATGTAGTGACAGGGAAGTAGGAGAAGACAATAAGTTACATTTGAGATGGAAATATACGTATACATGTATGTAATGTGTTAAATATGGGGCTTCCAATATACACTTGCAGAGTTTCCTGAAGCTGATGGTATCTGTGTCTTCAAAATGTCAGTAGATATGACAAGTAACATGCATTACATTACTTGTAAATTTCATGGCTTTTAAGACTTGAAGGCATTTTTCTTTAAAATTGTATATGAAGTGAGAAACACTGGTAATCAGTTGTAAGAAATATATAAACATATTTGTGTACCACTTCTGACTTATACATTAACTGTGTATAGTTAGAAATTTTGCACAAGGTTTAAACTGCTATGAGTCTGAATAGAAAGTTCAGAGACAGATTTTAGTATAGAGAAATGAATTGGAGAGAATTTTACTGTAGAGGAATGATAGACATATTACGCTAGTGTCACAATATCTCTTATTGTCTTCATTTCCCAAGTAGGAAGTATAATTTTGTATGTAGTGAAGCAAATGCTGCATTGTTCAGACAGGCCTGATTGATGCATCATCCAAGATGGTTGACTTGATGGAGATGTAATTCTTCAGATTCTTTGTCAGACTGGAAAAAAGAGCTACAAAAACTGCATTCATGGTTGAAATTCTCAATTGTAAGAATATTTTACTGTTTTGTTGTACACGGTGATTCATATAGAACCGGCCCGACGAAATGAGGTGTAATATAAAATATACCATACAGATATTAAAGTAATTTACACGTATCTTATCTTGGATTGTGTGCCGTGATCAGAGCAGATGTTGAAAGTGTCCTCTGTTTTCAAGCAGGCTTTAGAAAAACTCGCTGTTCGACAGTGAACTCCATGACTGTCGCCTGCGCACTGCAGACACGTTTCGGGATTGTCCTTGACCATGCAGCATAAGGGCTGCCACTTGCTGGATCATGCGCACACCATTCGACTCAGCACCGCCCACGGATTATTATGTCGTAATTGTGAGTGGTCATATGCATCACCTGTGGAATTATTATCAAATTCATCTGGCCTGTTCTATACGATTCATCCTGTATTTAGAGATGGACAGATTTCCATGAAATATGGTGCTGAACCTTCATAATTGTTAAGTGGATTACTTTCATTATAAATTTAAAAATGACAGAATAATGATACCGTATTTACGCATGTATAGGCCGCACATTTTTTGCCAAAAATTCAAGAGGAAAACTGGGGTGCGGCTTATATTTGAAATATTCGAAATCACACTTCTTTTAAAAAAAAATTATATTCATAATTAGTAATACAGGGTGTAATACTCCTGAAATAATATTCCAAGAAAATTATTTTTTCTATAATTTCTGTCTGAAAATTGTGCTGCGGCCTATATATGCAAAAATACGGTAATTTATGAAATTATGATGAAACTTGACATCTCCTACAGAAAATCCAAAGGCTAAGTTTGCTAACTTCAGATGTGAGACTGAGGAGCATCTTGGTAACATTTGTCTAGCAGGTTATGATATTATCAATTCAATTCTTTGCTGTTACACACTTCCATCACTTTCCCTCATTTCAAATTAGCAGGTTTTGGCAGA